CCCCTTGCGCCTCCCGCTGCTGCACAGCAAGGTCTTCGAGTGTCCATTGATGGGGAAAGGAAGGAAAGAGTTTATTATACAATGCAACTTAACTTGGAGCTCAGGCGACAATTAGTTTTCTTCCTGTCGGTCAGGTTTAGATTGTGTTATCCGTCAAGGCCGGAAGATTCTGCTTTGTTTTGATTACTTTGATTAATTAACGAAGCCTCTGATCCTAAGACATCAATATTTTATTTAAACTTGAACTTGCCCGAACCAAAGGGAACCCCAGACCGTCAACAAGTCAGATGCCCATTCCCTCGACTTCAAACCCTGATTAGACTTCAGCTGTTAAGCCCGAAAACCCCACATGTCCGAGCAACACCGAGGGCGTAGAGCACCTTCCACACTAAACACCCCAAACTTTTTCAGGAACCGTAAACCGGACAGCCTGAATTTAACATTCAAATCCAAACGATTCGCCCGATTCGGACTGCTTGACCACGTCGTCCTGCTGCTGATTCTGTCATCATGTAAGGATTATACACTTCTGGTTCCGGGGCGGAGCGGGCAGGGAATCTACAGCGTTACGGGTTTCTATCAGTGACAGCATTCCGACTACACACATTCGCAGGTTGCCAAGCCCTGGTGACAACTGGGACTTCGCCTTCGCAAGGTCCACCCAGCCTCGCTTGTATCGCGACCCTTCTCTTGTGCAAAGTCAGTGACACTCAAGACTCATGCCGTTCAGAGTGTGCATGCTCCAACGAAAAAGCAGCTTTTTCGGCTTCGATTCGCCTTCGAGCAAGCTCTCTCCCTCCATCTTCTCTCGCCTTCTTTCGCAATGGCGCCCAAGGCAGCTGGTAAGAAGACCGCGGCGGCGGCGGATGGGGCCAGCAAGAAACAGCGCCTTGCCGAGAAGAAAAGTGAGGCTGTGAGGAGGGAACAAAAACAGGTGTTGTCCAGCGACAAGGCTAACCAGGCCATCATGATGGAACAGATCGTGGAGTGGTGCGAGTCGCACCCAAGGGGATTCGAACACATCCACCGCTCGATCATGCTCGGTTCCTATGACGCCTTGGACCAGAAGAATGCCCTGACGGACGCCGATGCAGACACAAGGTTGCCGAGCTACATGAACAAGTTCCGACTCCTGACCGTCCCGGTGGCCTTGGAAATCCTCGCCTTGGTGACGCCAGCAGTTGCCTCCTTCATAGAGAAGATGCTGAAGAAGGGGCAGAAGATTTCCAAGTTCGACGTCACGGAGGTCGTCGCCTTCGTCCTCCATGTGGATCTGCGCAGCGCCTTGCCCAGCAAGCAGAAGAGCCAGCTGCTCCAGTGGTGCAAGACCAGAAGCGAGGAGTCGGACAGTCCTCTCAAGTCTTGGTCTTCGTCTTCGGAGCCGGTATGCGAGACCTGGGAGGACGGGGATGTTCTGGTCTAAATAGGTACTTAAAATACCTATATATCAGCCTTACATTAATTAATTATGTACTGGATTGTTTTTTTTGGCCGGCCTGAAGCTTCTTGCAGGACTTCGTCGCCCATCCGCTCTACAAGTACTGGAACTTTGAGCATGCCGCCGATGACGGGGACCAGTCGACGTTCGGGGTCGTGCGGTACCTGAAGACGGACATTCGCCTTCGGCTTCCGAAGGAGATCCGCGGGTTCCCGATGAAGGGCCCCCACCTCTTCTTCACGGCCTTCGTGAAGGGCTGCATCAGCATCCCCATGACCCACGTCATGGAGCACAATGGGGCCGAGGCGGGTCCTGAGAGGCCCCTCTTCTTCGAGGCGGTTCCATCAGGCTCGTCTTCGACTTCGCCTTCGAAGCCCAAGGAGGCCGAGCAGCAGCCCCCGCCGGCTACGCCGAAGAGGAAGGCTCGCTCCGACCCGAAGACTCCCGGGTCCGGGCGCTCGGGCAAGGACCCGGTGAGCCCGCCGCCTTCGTCCGGCAAGCGCAAGCGCTGAGCCGGTCGTCTTCGTGGTCCTGGTCTTCGCAAAGACAATGGCCTTCGTCTTGGATTCGCTCATGTCCTAATTCTCACCAATACTCACTGCCACGAGTCCGAGTATAATCATTATTACTTTATTAGTACCTAGTAGTACGACTAGCCGTACTAGTACTTGTAGTAGTACTGTCGTAGTAGTAGTACTAGTCCTAGTAGTAGTAGTAGTACTAGTAGTAGTACTAGTCCTAGTAGTAGTAGTAGTAGTAGTAGTAGTAGTAGTAGTAGTAGTAGTAGTAGTAGTAGTAGTAGTACTAGTAGCAGTAGTAGTACTAGTAGTAGTAGTCCTAGTAGTACTAGTGGTAGTACTAGTAGTAGTACTAGTAGTAGTAGTAGTAGTAGTAGTAGTAGTAGTAGTAGTAGTAGTAGTAGTACTAGTAGTCGTTGTAGTATTAGCACTCGTACGACTAGTACTAGTAGTCCTAAAGGTAGTAGTAGTTGTAGTAGTAGTAGTAGTACTACTAGTAGTAGTAGTGGTAGTGGTAGTAGTAGTAGTAGTAGTAGTACTACTACTACTAGACTAGTGGTGATGTACTACTGCAACACGTCGTATTCGACAAAGGCCGTTGTTTTTGCAGTGACTCTCTAGCCTGATGAGAGATTGTCTGCTGGGGCCAGCCCGGACACTGAAGTCCCCATGTCATTCGCTGTGGCCTTGGTCGTGTACTGTACACATACTCATGTTAGTCAGTAGTAGGATGCAAATCGTCCTTCGACTAAAGGCCTTGCCATCATCGAACATGGGGATGCAAGTGCATCGCTGGCGGTAGCCTAACTCACAGCTTCAGATTTTGATGAGCTCGGATGGCATGTCGCCGCTGGGGCCAGCCCGGTCACTGAATTCTCCATGTCATTCGCAGTGGCCTTGGTCGTGTACTGTATACATCCTCATCTTAGTAGTAGGGTGCAAATCGTCCTTCCACTAAAGGCCTTGCCATCATCGAACATGGGGATGCAAGTGCATCGCTGGCGGTAGCCTCACTCACAACTTCAGATTTTCATGAGCTCGGATGGCATGTCGCCGCTGGGGCCAGCCCGGACACTGAATTCTCCATGTCATTCGCTGTGGCCTTGGTCGTATACTGTTTACATACTCATGTTAGTAGTAGGATGCAAATCGTCCTTCGACTAAAGGCCTTGCCATCATCGAACATGGGGATGCAAGTGCATCGCTGGCGGTAGCCTAACTCACAGCTTCAGATTTTGATGAGCTCGGATGGCATGTCGCCGCTGGGGCCAGCCCGGACACTGAATTCTCCATGTCATTCGCAGTGGCCTTGGTCGTGTACTGTACACATACTCATGTATACCTAACATATAGTCGTAGGATGCAAATCGTCCTTCCACTAAAGGCCTTGCCATCATTATCGAACATGGGGATCAAGTGCATCGCTGGCGGTAGGCTGACTGTGAAAATCTCATTCACAGCTTCAGATTTTCATGATCTCGGATGGCATGTCGCCGCTGGGGCCAGCCCGGACACTGAATTCTCCATGTCATTCGCTGTGGCCTTGGTCGTGTGATGTACACATACATACTCATGTTTTCATAACATGTAGTAGTAGGATGCAAATCGTCGTTCCACTGAAGGCCTTGCCATTGTCGAACATGGGGATGCAAGTGCATGGCTGGCGGTAGGCTGACTGTGAAAATCTCTCTGAAGCCGCCTCAAGGCATGAAAAAATACTGCTGTCTCGGCTGACTGTGCGGCAAATTTGGTTGATCGCTCAAGCCTGTTGTTTCTCATTGTTGCTGCTTGCCAGGCTATGCCGAAACCGGGACTTCTCAGCCCGCAACTCAATCACAGTTTCGCTCATGTCGGAAGGATGTTAACTGCAGGAAGTTGCCTCGCCGATTCTTTTCTTGTTCAGACAACCGTGTCATGACAGCTGCCCAGGTTGATGGATCTCCCGGCGTCTTGGTCTCTCTCCTGGCGACGACTTCGGCTTCGCCTTCGATTCGGTTTAATTGAATTCTATTTGTGGAATCCACTAAGAATGATTCATACTTGTCGAGCAAACGTCTATGTGAACCTTTACTAGATATGTTCTACCAATTGGAAGGATAGTTTCCGAATATCCTGACTGCCAATCAAAATGAAACACCCTGCCTGCTCCCCCTGCTGTGTCCATGTCATTTCATGTCCAAAAGGCTGCGGTGGTAATTTAAAGATACACCCAGGTTTTGCAGTGGTGTTTTTGATTTCTTGATTCCTGCTAATACAATTTATTTTTGTTTCTCTGTTGGAGCCATAGAAAAGCTTCCTTTGAAAAAGTAGATGCATTTGATTGATTACTACAAACAAAGTTCTCCAGAATCACGTTGTCCCCCCCAGCCCCCCTGCTGCTTCACAATCCTCACATTACCCACAGCTGTTGCCGAAGACACAGAATCCCACGAACCCACTACGAACCCCCGGACCTTCTACGAAGTTCGCGGCAGCCGTTTGCTTAAAACGAAGTTCGCGTAAGGGCTGTCCTTCCCCCGCAGGCCGTTACCCCTCACCGTTTTGCCCTTACTGTAAGAAAGCCAATGTCGGACCCCGAAATGGACTCCCAATGATAATTTTCCGTCATATTGACTTTTAATGCTTGTCTCGGATCATTGTGGCCCAGGAGATTGTTGGAGCATGGGCACACTCGAATGGAGGGTTGTGCTTTCTACTGTTCTACTGGTCTCTATTGATTGGAGCGGTTTGGGGTTTGAAGTACGAGAGGTCGGGTTCGGCGCTGTTTCGCAAGCAGGTGCAGCCATACACAGGCATCAAAGCAACCTCCGTTCCACCTCTTAAATCCTGTTTGAAGTCCCTACACACGGATAAAACGCCCGCTGTAGCTTCCCACCTAAATCCCAAACCCTAAGCACCCAATATAAGAAAAGCCCGTTAAACGAGCCTCACATGGGTGGTTGTCAATATTAGGGTCCCTTTTTGGGTCCTTACTATAATACGGCACCTAATATATAAGGTACCCAAAACGGGACCCTAATTTTGACAACCACCCACATGGTAAGGCTGCATGTCTTGGTCTCCCAGCTGCAAGCCGAGAATGCGCCTCGGCGAGGGTCGCAGCGCCCAGTATGGCTGGCGAAAGCATCCTCCTGGGCCTAAATGATTAGTATTTAATGCGGTTCCTTTGGTGCCCGAATACAAAATACAATATGTTCTGTGGTTTTGTGTAAATATAGTATAAATCAGACACCAGGGGTTTATGAGCATCAAGGCCCCTAGATTAGTAGCTTTTCGGGGATCCGGACTGTGCCAGCCCAGGCGCAGCTTCCAGAGAACCTGATCGAGGATTTGTCGCCGGTGCGCCGGGCCGTTTCCTGGTTGAACTTCTGTTGATGATATAAACCCTGCATTACCTGAAGGACCCTAAACCATGCGAACTATGGTATATTCCTGATTAGGGGTAATGCAGGATTTATATCATCAACCGTTGCAGTGTTGTAGGGTGCAGGGTGTAGGGTGTAGGTTAGGGTTAATGGCCGTGAAGCGCAGTGCTGAGGGACAGACATCCTGCATGTCCATAGTGCTTCGCGTCGTCTTTGGGAATGCTCCAGAACTTGGATTTAGACGGGGGGTACGTCGCAACTATGCAGGTGAGCCAACAAACTGCCATATTTCGGACCTGCTTTCAATCTGAATAGGGTTTTTGGGTTTTTGGCCCCCCTGCCCCTTCCTCCAGATACCTGCGTTGCAAGGTCTCTGCTCCACTCGCCCAGCTGGCTCACGAGGTACGCATCTGATCACTGATCCGGCGATGGCATATGTTTGTCAGTAGTTAAAATAGCCCAGTAGGCTTCTGTAGTTAAAACTGCTCTTGGGGCCCAATGAAAACCCTTTTTGCAGACTTGCAGATCGTTGGAACATGGTTCTGGGGAATGTGTCTCTCCAGATTTTTGGGGGAGCTTAATTGTTCTGTGGCCGGGAAACACAGCGATTCCATACCTACTGGTGCATCCTACAACATCCGGACCGCCCCTATACAGCCCAATGAAGTATCTAGCCTAGCTCTGAGATCCATTTCAACATCAACTTAGATGCAGGTATCGTGACGGCACCGGTTCTCCAGCAACCAGGACCCTGTAAACCCTAACCTCAAGACAGGGGATCCGAAAGCGCGTCTCAATCTGAAGTATTAGTTTTAGGGTCTTTTGACGGGCCATATTCCCTTAAATCCCATGGTTTTCAACTCCGGACGCCCTAGGCCCTAAGGCTGCCTTAGGCTTAAACGTCGGGAGAGTACTCTCTGTGGCCCTATGGGCCCCTAACCTTGCAAGCGCCAAACAAAACAAACTAGTCCGGGAGCAGCTCAAGTCTTGTCGCTGTGTCTTAATAATGAACAGTTACATTGCCGAGAGTAGCTGCCAAGCTGCGGCAAGGGACCAAGACTGGGTTCCTGTTAAGGAGTTTGATTCAAGATACCATAATAGGGGTCTATAGTAAATTAATGGGCTTATTATAGGAGCTTAAATGAAACGTTCCTTAACAAGAACCCAAAAGAGCAGCCCGAGGATATCAAGACGTCAGACAGCACAGAGGAAAAGGGACCCGGGACGCCGGTCTTGGCGATGGCGGTCGAGAAGAGGCATGCCGTGGATGTGTGGTTGCTGGCTAAATGCTGGGATCACCACGCTTCGGCCATTTGAGAGGAGATCCGTGGAGAACAGTGCCGGTGGATGGCGGTCGCGACTCGCACGGCCTATCCCTCCATCTTGGGCGGTGGTCAGTCGGTTGTCCGTCTGGTCATAGCGATTGTCCTTGTGCCGTTCGAGATTGTCATCTGATTGTTTAGAGAAAAGAAGACAGTGGTTTTGAACCGGGCTTCTAAACTCATGATCAAAAAAGGCCGCAACGATAGCAGCAGTTGGAAGCAACAATGGCCCACTCCACAGGTAGCTGGGCTCCTATGGAGGACTCCAGAAGGGTCTTTCGGGGCCCGTCTTGCAGGGTTTTGGCGGTTACCGTACCAGGGCTCCTCGTGATGCTTCGGGTCGCTTACTTCCTGAAAACCCGAGTAGAGTTTAGGTTGTGTCTCTGAGGTATCAGGTAAAGGTTAAACGAAAGACCTTATAAACCCGAAGATACCCTAATCACCAAAATCCCTATAACTCCCAAAACCTTAATCCCGAAATCCTGAACCCTAAACCCCAACCCCTAGACCCAAATTAACCCCCCCAAACCCTACCTTAACCCCGAATAACCTACCTTTTTTTAAGGACTTATATAAAGAAATCATACTAGGGAACCTTGAAAAGGTAGGTTCCTTAGGGTCCAGGTTAAGCTTGAAACATCTCTGCGACCTTCCTGGATCCGTTATGGGAGCCCTTATAGGAATCCTTAAGGATCCCTTCAAAGGTATCCCTACAGCTTAAAGCGTACCTGCGAGGTCGCCGCTTTCGCTGCCGAGGCCGCGGATGCGCGCAAGGGCCTCCGCGAAGCGTTCCCGGCACCTCGACACAGGGTTACTTACTTAGGATTCCTTAAAGGGCTCCTTAAAGGGTTTGAGGTTTTAGGGATCTAGAATATAAGGGTTCTATAGGGGATAGTTTAGGTTACTTAGAGGATCATGGGACTTAGTAAGTAGGTTATAATTGGGGTTATAAGTCCCCTACCTGAGGTTACCCTAATTATACAACCTACTTATTTACTTACTAAGTCCCATGAGCCTTCAAGTAGGGGGGTTCGGGGATCACAGTTTAGGGTTTGTGACTCGAGGGATCAGGTTGCCACCTGAGGGTTCTACAGGTTGTTTTCGGGTTACCCGGTTAAAGGGGCTTGTGTTAACAGTCTTAGACCCAAACTTACGTTTTCGGATGGCCTTTAGTGGTAATCCCTATAGAACCCTCGAGCAGGTTTTTAGCACGCCTAACCTCAACGGTCGCACCGTCATAGAACCCTGATTTAAGCCTGGAGTAGGACCCTTATAGAGCGCTGAGAGAACCCTTGATAAAGCACTCAGCAAGCTGGCCTTATAAACCCTAAACGTCCTTAAAGCCAAAATCCCAAATCCTAGGCCCAGTAAGCCCTAAGCCCCAAGAAACCCTAAGCCCTTGATAATTAGACCAAAAGCCAGGGGCTGGAGGCGCCAGAGACCTTCTTCATCGGAGACGACGAGGGCCCTCAGGCCCAGACCTTTGGGTTTGGGATTTGGGGCTTTAGGGTTTAGGTTGTGGGGTTTTTGGGTTTAGGGGTTAGGGTTTAGGGGTTTAGGCTTTAGGATGGACTTTTGGACTCTCAGAATCTGTCAGAGGGTTTTCTCCGAACATGGGTTGTTACAGTGCTTTGGCGTGATCCATAACGTTTCAAGGGTTGTTATAGGGCTTTACAACGCTGGGTTGGCAGGTGATTAGGTCCCAGGTAGTTTAATGTAAACAGATCCACCAAGTTCGCGTTAGGCATATTCAGCGTGTGTGTGTGTACGCATTATCTGTATGTGGATATGAGGACCCCAAAACCCTGAGAGCCCCTAACATCCTTCGAAGATGAAAAACACACGAAAAGAACTGCTGACAAAGCATTCTCGTCGTTCTTGCAGGCCGTGTAGAAGCCACCACTTGACACCCAATGCCAAAAGCTCAACTGTCACCATACTCTAAGCTCCAAACCCAGACCCGTAACCCAAAGCCCAAAAACCCTGGACCCTCCAAACACTATACCTTAACCGAACCCCAAATCCAGAGGAAGTTGGAGCGGACATAGACGAGGATGAGGCCTGCAAGAGAGTCTTATCCAGTTCCGACACTGTTTAAGCTGCTTCTTGGGGTGTTTGGGGTTTAGGGTTCGGGGGTTCTTTGAGGTCCAGTATTTCTTTGGTGGCCCTAAGCTGTTGGGCTTTAGGGTTTGGGAATCAGGGATCATGAAGTTTCTTGGTGCGACCGCGTGTGCGGGTGCTTGGACGGTCTTGATAGCCCTAAACCCTAACCTTGTATAATAAACCCTAATCCCTAAACCTAAACCGAGGATCCAACAAGAACAAGGATCCTGCGAGCTTCTTGATAAATGGGTTTAGGGTTTAGGGCTTAGGGTTTAGGCTGATAAAGCTCTTATACCTCTTTGAAGGAGTACTGTGAGGAACGCTGGCGGCAGCCCCGAGATCCAAACCTTAAGGGTGCTGATCCGGTGTTCCTACGGTTCTACGACTCTACGATTTAAAGCCCCCAGTTGATGGCTCATGGGACTTAGTAAGTATAAGGTTATAAGTTATAAGTAGGTTATAATTAGGATAACCCGACTTAGGGGACTTATAACCCCAGTTCTAACCTACTTACTAAGTCCCATGATCCTCTAAGTACATGACTGCAGATTTCCGGGAAGCCTCAGAGGAGTTGCGCGGCCCACAACCACCGGAGACCCCTCTCCAGTGCCTTAGCGGCAGCTTCGGATGCAGGATTGCGATTGGGCTTGAGAATTTAGGGTTCCACTTTTAGGGATCTTGATGGTTTAGGGTTCCTTCAAAGGGCTTTGTAGGGTGCTCCTCGAGAGCTTGTATAGCATTACGCTTCAGGGTGTCAGGGTTTTGTAGTGGGATCCAAAGGGTCGATGGTGGGGGCATTAAGGCTGGAGTTTACAAGTACATTCAGGTTCAATTTGTCCTTGAGGGGTGTAGGAATTACTATCTTTCACTTCTGGAGAAACTTTGGTTTCGGAAGTGGGCCTCAAACCAGAACCCCCATCCAAGTTTCGGGATTGCGCTTTTTTCCAGCGCTTTTGGTCTGCCTTTGTCGGTTTTGGGGTGCAGGGCTTGGCTTGGGGCTACTGTTTACCAGTTCTGTTTGGGGGGCGTGTTGAGCCTAGTGGCTAGCAGAACCTGGCATCGCCCGGGCTGCTTTTTCAGGGTTTCGGGGTTCTGGGTTTGGCCTGTAGGGCTTAGGATGGTTTAGGGTTTAGCAATAAGGTTGAAACTGTGGGTGCAGGGTTTTTTCAGGGTTCAGTTCTCGAAGCAGGTACCTGGAGCCTGCAATATGGCAATATAGAGAGTTCCATTCCACACAACAAAATTGTAGTTTATCGAGGGGGACCCGTTTGTAGCCCCTATGTGTTTGCTGGAGTTGCCTGTGAATTCTGCACCATTTGCAGGTTTGCCTATGCTTGTTGCAAGACTCTGCTGTTGCACGCTGCAGGCGCAGGCAGACTATCAGACAGATCCTCGATCACATCTACACCAAAGTAGCACACAAGGCGCAGAGGGTGCAGGGTCAACGGGTACCGGGTTTAGGGTTTAGGGCTACACAGTACCTTAATTCCTAAACCCTAGACCCAGAGACATGTTGAGTTCCTTTTGGATGCAGGACGATGTGCTTCAGGGTTGTACTTGATGCGAAAGCTGGGTGAAACGGATGTTACTGGGGGTCGGAATACTTACCTTATGCTATTCCCTCATAGGCCCCAGGCTAAAGATGGATAATAATCTACTGTACCCCAACCCCTCGTCTAATGTTTGAGGCCCAGAGTTCAGCGCTCGATGATGGGTGCCGCCATGCCACTCAGACATGAGAGCCTCACGACAAACTCACACAAGACAACTACTATCAGCATTTGGAGGTTCATGGGTAGTTCTTCGTGGTGCAAGTAGGTTGTAGCTTGGTTATAGCCCTTATCAGGCGACTGTCATATCCTAGCCTCACTTATAACTTCCCATGAGCCTCCGAGCACCGAGGTTCCGAGTGCTTACACATCCCACCAACCCTGACCCCTACAACCCTGTATCCCGAAGGCCCCAAGTTCCTACAGACCCGGGTAAATCCAAGTCTTGAGCCGCTCAAATCCAGCACTATTCGTAGTATCATTGCTTTTTATGACTATGATTATGAGTATGATTATCCTTGCAGAGGGAACCGCATAATTGCAAATGGAGGGGCTTCAATACAGCTTGAATGCGATTTGTGGGAGTGTCTGGACCCTAGCCGGAACCGTAAAGCCAAAGCCCTACTTGGAGGCCCAGGGGACTTAGTAAGTAGGTTATAGATAGGGTTATAAGTACCTTAAATGGAGTTACCCCAATTATAACCCTACTTATAACCTACTTACTAAGTCCCATGAGCCTGTAAGTAAACCCTAAACCCTTAATCCTTAAAGGGAGTCCTGTTATAGAGCCCTTAGTACCCTTAAAAGGGACCCCTATGCTTCAGCCCTGCACCTGGTTTCCAAAGCCTCAAAGGCCATCCCGAAGATCCCCAAATCGCCCCCAAACCTGCTAAACCAGTGCCCCTACTTGGAGGATCATGGGACTTAGTTAGGTTCCTATAAGGGCTCCTTAAAGGGATCTATAGTGTTTAGGGATTAGGGTCTACTTGGAGGATCATGGGACTTTGTAAGTATGGTTATAAGTACTTTAGTTGGGGTTATAAGTATAGTTACCTTAATAATAACCGTAATTACTATAAGTCCCATGATCCTTTAATTAAATTCCCTGAATCGTAAGCCTCCAAACCCTTCGGAAATTTGAAGCTGCAACGTCCAGGGTTTCTTATTTGGGTAGTTGTCAAAATTATGGCCCCTTTTTGGGCACCATAAATGTTCGGTGAATAATAGGGACCCAAAGGGTACCATAATTTTGACCACCACCCATTTATGTTTCAGGGCCGCAGGTATAAACTTATAGAGCCCCGTGGTGAAAGCCTTATATATAGAACCCTCCTGCAACGCAGGCAGGGCGTGCACCTTGAAAATATACCCAGCGAATCCAAGAAGCCCTCAACGCCAACAAGCCTAAATGCCCTAAACCCATAAACCACATGGGAGGTTCCGAAAACAGGGGATCCTAGTATAGTATCCTAAATAGTAGGACTCCTATTATAAGGAGCCCAAAATAAGGCACCCCTAATTTAACGGAAACTCCCACATCCGAACAATTAAGTCAAACTCTATAAACGGGCAACCCCGAAGCTGAAGCCCTGAACCCCAAGCGGGTGTCCTTTTTGTAGGCGCCCCCGCCTCTGATGACCTTGGCGGACACAGCCTCAGCAGCTGCTGCTGAGCTCCAGGCTGATCCTGAGCGCTCTTCAGGGCTTTGTTAATTGTTAATTACGGGGGTTCTATACTTAGGGGTACTTTGAGATAGTGTTTATTTTTTGGTTACTATATAATCCCTAAGAAACAGCTAGAATTATGTTTTTGGCTAGGATTCTAAGTTCAGTATAGTATAGCTGACCCTAAGGGTCCAAATACCCAATAATCGTATACTCTCCCAAATATTAACCTACACAACTACTATCCTAAACCCAAGTACCTGATAATTGGGTCCTTTGGATCCTTAGGGGAAGAAACCCTAAACCCGCTTTTTGTTCGGTGTTTGGGTGTAAATTGGCTGAACATTTGAGCCTTGCAATTTGGGTGCAGCGTAGTTATCAGAATTCTTTTAGCATGCGTAAGTTATACATGTCATGTGAAACTGGGGTTACTTTTTGGAGGTTTTGTGTCGAGTGTATACGGGTCACTTAGGAATATCGATAAGTGTGTATCTGGGGGGTGTGTCTCCGTGGGATGCTGGCAGTATACAAACCGTAAACTTTGCCGAACATCATGGTACCGACTGAACCAGTTTGTGCTTAGAAGAGTTACGGTTGTGTTTGTTACTTCAAGTTTGTAGGTCTAAAGTGAGAAGCATGTACAGTTTGTCGGTAGTTCCTCTTCCTCGCAGGAGCTGGGCGACCCAATGCAGCCATGTGCACGCGCCCAACTAGTCAGTCCCGTATCGAAACCAAGGACCAGGAAACCCTAAACTGTCAACCCCAAACTCACCGAAACTCTAAATCTTGAACTTTAAACCCGAACCCTAAACCCTAAACCTTAAATCCTTGAACTCTTCACCCGAACCCTAAACCCTAAACCCTAAACCCTTGAACTCTTAACCCGAAGCGCCGGCACCAACACCCCAGTGCCAAAGCCTTCAATTCTAAATACACCACACCCGTGAGCCTACCGTCCAGGCTTCCCTGGCTGCCACTCGTGACAAGGCACACCCCGTACTCGGCTCTTAGGATCTAGGGGAGGGTGCTCAGAGTTGAGAGTTTAGACTTCTGTTTTGGAGTTCAGAGGTACATTAGCCGTTCCTTTTCACATTGCCCCAGGCGGCACAGGTTCTTGCTTAGTGTCTGTCGGCGCAAATCAGAATAGTATAGGGTCTGCTGGAGCAGTCGTGTTTTTTGACGATGAGTTTGCCCCCAGGCTGAGGCTTAGGGATGTAGAGATTCGAGTTTAGGAAGTTACGGTGTTGAGGGGCTTTTTCGATTTCGGGGCACCTAAGATAATGCAATGGATCTAGTTTTGATTACATCTCTCTGCACCCGAAAGTTGGATTTTTGCAGCGACCCTACAAGACAGTAGGTGGTGGTAGTTTGAGGAATGGTGTGGGGTGTGGGATTCTCACTGGGGAACTTAAGGCCTGGAATTGCTCCTATGTAGCAATCTGGAGGTCAGTGCGATGGCTGTTTCGATGCAGACCTAGCGCCCAAGAGACCATCGTGGAAATGTAGCATGCAATCTCTCAAGGGGCACTTTCGAAAGGACAGTATGAGACTGATTAGAAACTCCGTTTACTACCCGGGAGCCTCCGAGAAGCGATAGGCCGCTGCGATGCTGGGATTCTTCGCCTTCGGCGATGCGGGTGGTGGAGCAGCGGCTCTTCGGCGGGTGTTGTTGGTTTTGGATGAGCAGTCTTTTGTTCTGAGGGTCGGGTTTCGGGGTCTACAGGGATTTGGATGTGGTTTAGGATGTGGGAGCTTACTGGAAGTGATGATTTACAGCTTGAGTAGGGTTTGTGGCTTGTGTAAACCACTGGCAGCGAGGCTACCTAGCAGGGAAGCGCGTTTAAAAATCAACGCTTCGTAGGATCTTCGAGAGGCTTTGGCACGAGAAGCAATGGACTTTCTTAGATTCGACTGGGTAGTTCTACAAGTGGTCATAAGTAAGGAAACTGCAGACCCCATTATATATAGCCCCCAGGGTCCTCCTGCATAGTAACTACAGCTATGATCGATCCGGCCAGCTAAGTCTATCGACGCGTTTGGGTGATGAGCACCAGGATACTCAACCGAATGCTACCCTCACTGGACGACACGTAGTCCCTGAAGCACTGTTGACTTGTACAGCCCCAAAGGCCTCGTAATGCAGGCCTCGTTGCTGAGTCTTATAAACCCCGAATCCAACCCCTGAAACCTTAGGTGCGGAACGGTGCGGAAGCATGTACATGGGAGTTTCGGAGCATGAGGGACAACAGCCCATGTACTTACACTACTATAGGGGCCTACATAGTTGCCTAGACTATTTTGAGGCGCCATAGTACAGTTATAGCATATGGGCCCCAAAACCCTAGTGTAACTATTAAGGCCACTATACTAAACCCCCCATAAAATACCTCTTGTAGCAACCCTAAGAGGACTCTTTTTAAGAGCCCTATTCTAATTATTCAGGCCCCTACATTAGCCGCCTTCGCGCACATATCTCCAGAAACAGGATCCCAAGCTCGCCTAGAGCCATCCTTCTGTCAAAGGGGAAAAGGAGGGACCCTTTAGGGGTCCTTATTAAGGGTCCCTCCTTTTACCCTTGGATTCTGGCTGTCCGGGCCCTTGTTAAGGACAGTCCCTTTGGATCTTCCTCTCCGTGGCCTGGTGCAAGATGTGAAGTAGGGCTGCAAAGTGGGTCTGCGACGCTTCTTCAGAATGTTGGCGTGTTTGCAATGCTTCTAGAAGTCGCTTGTTGAGTTTAGGGCGCATCAAGGTCGTGCGTTTTTCTTCTAAGGAAGGTCCCAACCACAAAGGGGGATTCAATTGTCGCCACTCTGGGGACTCTGGGGGATTTAGGGCAAGGTGGCCAAGCGGCCAGGAAGATATCAAGCCTACGTTAGCTGAGGGTTTAAATTTTGAGTTTCCTGAGGTTTGGATTGGTTCAAGGTTTCCGATCTCTGATTCGAGGTTTGGGTCTGCCAGGTTTGCGATTCGTGGCTCATGGAATGAGCTGATGTTTGAGGTCTTTGGGCTGCGAGATGTTGCCACCGAAGTACGTGAGTTCTTTAGCCAATCAGAACGTGATACCGGCAGATGGCCGTCGTACTCCCTGGAGGAAAACATGAAGTACTGTTGATTGTTATGTATGACCTTGATCATGGCCGTTACTAATCAGAATACTCGTTCTAGGAATGCTGTTATTCTTAACTGTCATTGTTATACCAGTTTCTTACCAGACATATTGCCAGTAGTCAGAGTCGAAGTCGGAGTCACAGTGGTAGTCGTTGAGACACTGGTAGTGGCAGTGGTAGTGGTAGCCGTCGTGGTCGACGTGGTACTACGTAGTACCATCCTCGTCATCATAATTGTATCATGGTTGCTAGTCTTCTAATTCTAGCTCTTGGTGGGTGTACATGTGCCTCGGGGGCGTCGTAGCTCTACTTCAGTCAGGTTGGGGGTCTACTGTCTCAACGTTGTGGTTCACTCAACTCATTTCTTCTTCTTTGTTGCTGAAGCCTGACCTTCTGAAGATGAGCCGTACATCTAAACCAGTGACATGTGGGAGTTTCCGAAAACTAGCGGTGCCCTATTTTGGGGTCCTTATAATAAGGATCCTACTATTTAGGGTACTACAATAAGGTCCCCTAGTTTCGGAAATTCCCATGTCAGGCCTGCCCATCCCTTAAAACGGCGGATTAACGCAACAAGGCTCGGACAAGAGTTCTCGAATGAAATGATAGGATCCATGGACGTAGCACAAATCTACAGTAGATGGGTTTAGGGTTTAGGGTAGATCCTAGTCGCTCTTAAAGCCTGCACTGATTCGCCTGCCGCATCCTCCGTAGCTTAGCTGCAGCTTCATTCAGGCAAGTTGTGAATGTCACGGACGCCAAGTGCGCAGAGTTCTTCCAGATCATGCAAAGCCGCTTCCCTGGACGAGGAAGTTTGGTTCTTATGCTCAGGCTCCAAAGCGTCCAATCAGTCAGCAATAGTATATCTGTGTACAAAAGCAGGAGAGTAGTAGGCGATTACTCATGAGAGAGATGACCCTTAAGTTTGTGCTCGCCTCGACTTCCCATCAGTTGCCTCTTATGGGCATCAGGGATCCATGTCAAGATAGGAGGCCTTATGCTCAACTCCTATCTCGAACACCCAGAAACCCAATTCCAGTCTTCGCGGCGGCTATACCCTAAACCCCTAAACCCCTAAACCCTAAACCCTATAATTTCATAGCACGGGTGCGAGGCCGATCCTTTGCAGTTGGGCGAGAAGGATTTTGAAGTATTCCTCAGTCCAAGTTTTACTTGACCCCTGAACTCTAAACCCTTGCAAACTTGAAGATCCTAAAACTCCTTCAGCTCAAGTCGTTGCAAAATTAAAGATTCTAAAACCCCTAAGCTCAAACCCTTTCAACATCAAAAAGTCATGCGCTCCGTGATCATTCAGGCTTTCTGGATGCCTTTGAGACTTGCGTGCCTGGCTCAGACAAGAGCTTCTCGAGCTGCGGGGGTTTCTGTGTGTGTTTCCGGTTTAAGGTTTAGGGTCCCTAAACCTCAAAATTAAACACTAAACCCGAAGCCTGTTCAAAATTGTTTGATCTGCTCCCGGGGGTTGAGGCTTTCGTTTTCAGAGATGCTACAGAGACTGTTATCAGGATCACTGCTGCTGGATTTACGGTATTGGATGATCTGGGGGGGGGAGGACCCAGAGACTCCAATATCCCTTAAGGAATATGCCTTAAATTATGGTAGGATCCTTAATATGATTTACGGAAATATTCCCTAATTAAGGGGTATTGGATGATCTGGGGGGATTCTGCTCCTTTGATGTCTCCCATGTCAGGCTTAGGCTTTGAACTTGCCCCAAACCGGGGTTCGAATTTAGGGTTTAGGGTTTAGAGTTTAGGGTATATAGAGCCCCCAGAACCCAGGGTTCGAATATATAGAGTTCCCCGAACCCAGGGATCGAATATAGAGTTCCCCGAACCCAGAGGGTTCGGAGATATTAAACCCTTGAACCCATCATCCTAGATGGGCCCTGAAGCTCAAATAACTCCAAGAAGGCTTGAAGGCCGGAACCCCATGGCTGTCTGTAGGATAGGTGGTTCAGGGTTTAGGGTTGAGGGTCTGGGGCTTAGGGTGAGACCCGAAACCAGAAAGTTTAGGATTTGGGGTTTAGGGTTTAGGGTCCTGAGACCCATAAACCCCTATAACCTTCACGCCGAAGCGCACATGTCGGCACAGGTGGCAGAGTCGATGGTCTCTGGACCATGAGTTTCCCAAAAGCTGAGGGACTTCGAGCCTCAACGGAGATTGTTGTATAATGTCTGGGACCCAGAGTAACTAGGCCCTTATTCCCTCGTTTTAAGGTTCAGGTTCCCTTATAACTCCCTTTGAACCAAAAAGGGCGCCCTTTTTATTCCTAGGTTACTCTTAGGTCTAGATGTTGTATACGAGTGTTTATTGAGTCTTAGCATAGTTTTCCTATTCTTATTCCCAATGGTTCATATGATATATGAGTGGATCAGGTGCAGTTTACTTCTGCATTGTTGCAGTTACCATCATCATCAGGATACTTCGTTTGATTGTTGATGTGTTTAGTGCTCTGACTTAGGCTTTGGTTCTAGCGCTTTACATCGGGTTTGGGGATTTAGGGTTTAGGGTTTAGGATTAGTAAGTCTATGTGGGCTTGCCGTGGTTTAGGGCAACAGGTTTTTTAGGTGCGGACCGTGGCTCGGATGCCACTCAGCTGTGAAGAGTGCATGCGAGTAATTCGAAGCATGCCATCTTCGGCCCCTCCAATGCTCTTAGAATAGTTGAGTACCCCTTCAGGATTTCTGGTTAAGCGCGTATAGTTTTGAGATCAGGGGCCCGGTTCGTTAGGATTTCCATTACTTCTATTCACTTTTTTTGTGTTGCAGATTGTGTATTCCTTCACGGGGCGTCTGAGAAGTTGTTGCGCATTGTAGCACGCATAAACTATATGCCGCCAGGGCCGTGGGATGTAGCTTTACAAACATGAGCTTCCATAGTCGTGATTTTGAGCTCGGAGCTGCAAGCCTGTAGGGCTTGTAGATTCAATGTCTGCTTTTGCTTTGGGTTCAGGGTCTAATGTCGCGAGCGATTGCAATGAGCGATTCAGGACCCTAAACCCTAAGCGCTTGTCCCTAAACCCTAAACCCATTGAAAGGTTTCTAAAAGACCAGGGATGTCGCTGGGCTGGAACCTGAGTGGCCTTTCAATACGATGTTTAAGCGAAGCTACGTACTAAGCTGCCTAGTCTGAGCCCTCCTTGTGTTCGTTCTGCGAGTTCCTCCCACCGACTTCTCCTCAAAGATGCCGGAGATGCATATGCAAGAAATGGCATAAGGGTGGTTCTGTAAATTAGGGTCCCTTTTAGAGTCCTTTCTTTTTAGGGTGCCGTATGATTTTGGGGACCAGAAGGGGGACCTTATGTACAGAGCTACCCAATATGCAGGACATGGCATAAACACAAAATGCCGGGGAGATCAGCTGCAAGGCCTTGTCTTGGCAGCAGAGACGGGAGTGCGCGTCCCCAAAAAATGGTCAGGGCTGCAAGTTTAGGGGTTTGGGGTTCAGGGTTTGGGGTTTCGGGACCCCTGAAAAATGGCAGGGTCTAGGCGGAATGCCTCCGGGCGGTAAGGTCTGGGGCTACTCCTTTTTAGGGGAGCGGGGGCGCTGGGCATTGATGCTTGCTTTCAGGGGTTCAATTTCTGAATCTTGGAGAGAGGTTAGTTAGCGCTTGCATGCTTCGTGTCATGTCGACTGCGGTTATGATGATGACGATGATGATGGCGATGATGACGGTGATGATGGATGCGGGTGATGATGTTCGTCGTCCATAATGAGCACGGTGATGATGCTCATTGCTGCGTGTCGTTGTGAATCGCAAGAACGGCCACGGATTTTTGTCGTCGATTGAGATTCGGCAAGCAGCGTCGCTTGTTTGCTCAACCCCAGTTAGGCGACAACATCGCTATTGGTTGTTCATGCTGCATGCGAATCAGCTGCAGCATCCGAAATATCCCGAAATCGTAAAGCCCGTTTAAGACTTTCTAGTTCCTTCTTGCCTCGGGATGCAGCGTGACCCCGATGGCAGCTGCAGTTGAATACTACGGGGAAACCTTCCAACTCTATGCAATCTTGATACAAAAACGCATGTTGAATTGCTCTAGAACTTCCTGTGCAGATCCAAGCACTCGATGTAAGATCCCTCAAGTTTTAGTCTCAAATCGTGTTGACACCACTCTTCAAACTCTGTATCGAACCCTAATAATCTTAGAAGCTCCACCTATGTACACATATAACATATATATATATATATATATATATATATATAAACAGATGCATACATACATACATACATACATATATATATATATATTATATATATATATGTGTATATATATAAATATTACATATATAATATATATAATATATATATATATAATATATGTATATATATATATATATATATGTATATATATAGGTGTTTATATATACATACATACATATGCATATACATATACATATACATATATATATATATATATATATATATATCCGCTCCCACTGAGTGGGCGCGGCGCGTTGGTACGTTACCAGACGGCTCCTGCTTGCAAATAAACAGTACATGGACTGCTGTGAAACACAAACGTATGAGAACCCGTGGTCTTTCGTTGCCGCGACATCTTCTGGACGATCAAACCTGAAAACGATGAAGCGGAACTGACAACTCATGACATGTTTAGCTTCGTCGTAGACGACTGGACAGTCTTGCGTTGAAAGGCCAGCCTGACTTGCATACTCGTCGCTTCCTATGGATCTGTTGCGCAGTCTCACGAGTGAGATGAAGGGGGGTGCAGAATGATGGTGGCAGAAGCAAATGTTCATGATGCAGACTAACCGCTCAAGTTATTTTGCTGTAGTTTTTGCCTGTCGCTCATGGCGTCGTTGCCACCGCAGAGGCCGGTGTCACTTGCACAGTCCATGAATGAGAGTAACTTGGACGGCACGGTTACATGGGAAGAGGCCATTGGCATCACAGAAGGCATTCATGACATTGGACAAACCGTTGGTGGTGAATAAGCGCATTGGTGCGATCAAAATCTGGGACCTGCCTGCAGAAGACGAGATCGTGGACAGTATGAACAAAAAGGTGCAGTTTGGACTTTTTGATGGATTCCGAGGGTGACCTAGACCTCAAAATCATCGAAACCATGTTCATGCAGCAGAGGCACAGCGATCTCCCTGAGCCAATCAAGATGAAAGGTAACAATCGCCATCCCTACACCATGCAATTGTTCTTGTTGCCGAAAGTGGGGAACAAATGGGATATTGAAGCATGGTTCGCCGACGGCACCCGGATGATGAGTTCAACCATCAAAACGATGTGCGCGGGGAGGCCTTTGGGGATTGACTATCAGGAGAATTTCGCGAAGGTCCTAGGCCCCTAGGCTTGGGTAGGTTTCAGGTCCGGTACCACCAACTCGTCCCTGGGAATGCAAGCCGGCCTTGTCCTTTTTCATGGCTCCCCCAAAAGAATAAACAGACCGGCTAGTAGACCTTCTTAAATAATTCTTACTAAGGGATATAGGTATAGGGCTCTGTCTATTATTTCTAAAAGGACAAGCGTGATGCAAGCACTAAACCGGTGAAGGAGACACCTTTGTCAAGGAGCACGGGCCGCAAGAAAACTCCATGGTCCAACAGCGAGTTCACATCTTGGACAGAGGAGCAGGTCAAATGATCCAAGCGGACCATTATGTCGGTGGGACAGGCGCACTATGAAAGAATGTGTTCGTTGTTTGGCGGACAAAAGATCGCAGGCGAAAACTATCGCAGACTGGCCACTCACTCTCGTAGAGTTCACTCCGTGGGCCATCAACCTAGTCATCGCACCGGTGTTGCCTTATGTCATCGAGAACTGTGTCATCTGGGTTGGTAAATCAATCCTATGTTGGCAATAGCCCGCTGTCCTACACACTCGCAAAGCTGCTTTCCGCTTATTGGCTGCTCCTTGAGGGTCGTAACGACCAGGGGCCTACACTCCGGACGGCAAATCATCTGGACTACTTCCGGAAAGAAATGGGGCGTCGGACAAAGCCGCCGGTCCACGACGACGGCAACCTTTCCATAGAGCTGCCTGCATCGATGAGAGCTGTTTTGGAAGTGTCGGGTGTGGATCGCAAGACCATGGCGCGACACAATGCGTCATCGTATGAAAAGAATAAACTTTGTCAGGCGTGCGCAAATCCCTACGACCAATGGACAAGAATGTGTTGTCTGATCAGGTTGACTTCCAGTCATTCTACGAATTGGTCCGTCCCTCATTTCACAAAGACTTCCATGAGGAAGATTTGATTGCCGTTTTCAAGCGGTCTGCCATCGTCGTGTTCACAGACATAGTAGTGCCAGGCCCATGTTCAACGCCTACAAGAAGGTTAATCTTCCAAGCTGCCGCCCAACCACAGCGTCAACTTGCAATGGTCGCGAAATTTGTTGCAAGCCGCCCTCGACGTTGAAGAGGTTCGCTGGTGTTACACAGTTCTACAATTAAAAGGACTTCTCTGTAGATAAATTGCGTGAGTGCCGTCCTCAGCTCGCCAACATCGACGCCACGACCGTCTTTTTTTCTTCAAGACGCAGATGCACAGCTCGACCTTTCGCCATCTCCTGCGACATGTGCAAAGCCCAGGTCCTCATCTCCGCGGCCTTCTCCGAAATCGAAGGTCCCCTCGTCAAGCGTCCAGCGGGCAATCAGAAGTCTGGTTGGAATCAGATGCCTTCCAGAGAGATGCCACGGGTCCTTCTTTTGCCCGCAAAGGCCAAACGAAGTGGCATTGCAGTCTCCAGGAACTCTTGTTTCAAACAGACCCGGGCATCCTGCGACTCTTGCAGAAGGACAAAATCTTGCCGGATGGGACTGGGGCTGTATGTCCAGGCTGCAATTTCGGAAAGCTTGGTTTCCTGATGACACGTCCCAAGTCACATTGCCTCGTGTGCCGATGCAATCGAAAGCATTGCCAGCACTACATCTCTCCCGTCGAGCTGCACCCGCTCTTCACAAAAACCATGAGGCCAGAAGGCCTTTTACTTCAAAAGCAGGCCGCTGCGCTTCTACTCCGACTTGTCAATGTGCCGTTGGCGGACATCCACAACTCGACACACATGAACCACAAAGCCATTGAGAAGCTGAACAAGAGCTTGCTGTTTCTTCGCAGAGGCTACGTGCAGGAGGCTGAGGAATCCATTCTCTTCGGTGGCAACGCGAAGAACTGGAAAGATGTCGAGGTGGATGAGGCCACCTTCGACAAGAGAGCTTAGCAGGAAACAGAGGTCAGCAAGAAAGATGTCGTGGCAGGTAAGACTGTTCACTGGGAGCAGTGGGGTGGATTGGTGCAAAGAGGTACTCCTGATACACTTGTTCTTGCAAAACTCAACCCAGCCATCACTGTGCCATGGGCTCCAGGTCCTGGAGCCATGCGCAAGGTGGATTGGAAACCGATGGCCAACAAGTGGCTCAAGGATCGCTCAGTCGTACTTCACTCGGACTCCGCGCGTTCCTATCGCATGACGCTTTCTGGTGTCGTCCACGATGATGTGACCCACAACAAGCGGCGAGTGAAGCGGGACGGCAGATTCGTGTGGGCTCAGCCTACCTATGTCAAGGTATCCACCCACACCTTGCCGGGAGGACGCCGACTCAAGACAAAGGCAGGTGCTCAATTCATCGACAGAGCTTGACCCGCGGGTATCAACCATCTCTGAAGGCACCGGCGTCCGGCACAAAACAAACAAAACACGGGAAGCCATCGGATTTGTTTTCGTGTCTTGACACACATGTCTTTCTGTCTTCTGCGACAACTCTGTGCATCTTATGTACTTCTTCATGCTCAAGCGTAGGCCATTGAGGGGGGTGTAGCAGTGTAGCATTTCTATATATATTATATATATATATATACATACATACATACATACATTCAAGCCCTGAAATACAAGCCTGGTTTCGACGAGCACAACAACCGCCGGTGAAGGAGTCGGAGGCGCAGTGGCTCGAGGCCTTCAGCTCGAGCTTTTGTGCAGATTGGGTTAGGGAAGGTAGAGTAGAGGGGTTGTACTGCATGTAGAGGGCTGCTAGAAGGTGTTGGGGTTTTGCGTGTCATTTAGGGGCCTTAATATATAAGTAGAAGAGGGTTTTGGTGCTTGTTATACCACAAGGAGTCTGATGAAACGAAGCACCTTAAATTCTAAGGCCTATAAGGGTTCTTAAAGTCATTTAAGGATTTAGGGTTTCGCACGTCGTCCATGGTTTAGGGCTTTCGGAGTTTCTGGGAGGATTAAATCCCCTTATCAAGGAATGCTCTTCTGCTTGAACGAGTATAGTAATTGATGCAAGGAGGGTTGGAAGCAGTGAACTCGGAAGTTTGAAAACCAAGAATCTCAAAACTGATTTTGTAGCCACCCGACTGGGGGTGTCAGAAAATGAGCCCTTAAGAGACCCCAAGCAAGACCCTGAACAATAGAATCCCAACGGGAGATGAGATCCCCCTGGCTCTACACCCGGAACCACCATGAGCCAAAAAGGTCCAAACCCCTAAACCCTATGAGGACCGGTAAAGGTTCCTTCGTACGGCGTGGTGTGTCATAACGTTAGGATTTACTGTTTGGGTCTAGATTGACTCGCGAGCCAATGGACACCATCATGAAGAGACTGGAGCCAACCTACTTCCAGAACAAGGGCAGGGTGCCCAGGGAGGAGGAGATCAAGATGACAGAGACAATAAATATGAAAACACTCAAAACAGAACTCCGGCGAACGAACCAGCCCTCAAAGGTGGCCATAGTTACTACAGGGGCATGAATAATTAACAATATGATTCTGGGGGTTCCGTATCAGAATTATATTATAATGGGACCCAATACCCTATTCTGATCATTAAAGCCACTATACAAAACCTCCATAATGCTCCTTACAGTCGCCCTAAGAGAACCCTTTTTTAAGAGCTTTTTAAGGAACCTGATTCTAATTGTTAAAGCCCCTACAGTGGAGCCTTACCTCGGGCAGCAACCACATTCCGTCCGCAACGATCGCCTCCTGTGGGGTACTAGTGCCCAGGAGCTACGAACTGCTATACCGTTATAAGAAACTAATACCGTAGTACTATACAACTATACTATAATACAAACCATAATAATATGTTTTTGTGTCTTCATATCTGCCACTCTTCCCATACCCGCCGGTTTTCCACACCGGCGTATGGGTTCTGGCCTAAGGTGTGTTGGTCCAAGATGCCGTATTTGCGTTCAGGTGGCGTGGAGTACAATACATTTTGGGGCTCCTTATTGCAATTATGGCATGATATACCCCAAAACGCTTCAACAATTTTAAGGCCCTTATAGTAGGCTTGGCCACCACTGTATTGGAAGGGTCCGACCTCGCTCCGACTTAGCACCTTGCAACTCGAATTTGGATTGTTGATGATGACCTGCTATCGTGAGTCCACTGGACGCTGGTCAAGCCGCCGTGGAAAAGTTCGTGCCGATGTGGCACGTCGCTGTATGCAACGGGGCATGTTGTCGTATGCAAGGGGCGATCATTCCGCAGATTTGTCTGCCGCATTATTGGTAAGACTTTTTCGTTCTGAAGCTCAGGTATTCCGTTTGCACACTGTGACGAGTAAAGCCCGAAACCCCTGATGTGCCCCAAACCCCAACCCCCTAAAACGCTAAACCCCAATTAAACCCTTGAGCCCCTCGCCCCCTCAACCCCTAACCTCCTAAACCTTAAATCCTAACCCCCGAACCCCAAACCCTTCAGCCCGAAACAGGACATGGGTTTCGAGAAGTCGGACGTGGCTGCGGCACTCGCGGAGGCAGCCACTGGAGCTCACCGGAACGAAAGAGTCCAACGAACAAACCGAGGTTTACGATTTTTCATCTCTTGAGAGGGTTCCTGTAATTACACGTTCAGAAAGGGTTCGTGCAAATGGAGTTCTGCAAAACAGAGGGTTTTCTGTGCTATTCGGGTTCGACAGTGGGTGTTTGGGATATTACCTAAGAACCTCCCTGCACCCGTAAATTGAGGCATGTGGCCCTTAATAGTAGGTTATAATGATTACAATGCAAGCTAGATGGAGGGTCTAGGAGGATCTTCAGAGGTTTGCTTTCAGTTCTCAGATGCTAACGTTTACGGGATCTTCCGTGGCTTGGGAGCAATGAACCAGGAACCTCCTAACTTTCGCAGATTGTTTGTTTATCTGGATAAGGAGGTGCCAATACGCAAACGGAGCCAAGGGGATTGTCTGGGCAAGCCCCAAGCCTTCTCCCCGAAAGCACGCATGCTATCGCAACCAGAAGGCAAGATCAATCCGCAGAGAGGTGCAGCGTTACTGTGGCGCTGCCGTAATCCCATCACAGAAACAAGCTACAACCCGTGTAGAACCCGACTCGGAGCTATTGCACCCCTGCTACATCCTGTCAAGCTGCCACCGATTGCATCCTTGTAGCTGATAGACTCTTCTCTACACCGAAAACCGCTTAACCGTTGTCCCCTTAACCCTAAACCGGTTTAACCGTTGTCCCCTTAATCCTAAACCGGTTTAGGGTTCAGGGTTCGATCGAAAGGCAGCTGGCGATGCAGACGAGGCTCTCAACGCCCTGCGCAAGCGCCGGGTGCCTGGCTGCCGGTAGCGGAGTGCGAGATTTTCGGCAAGGCTTTTGTAGGTAACATATTTGTGTGTGTGTGTATATCTATATATATATATATATATGTTGTAAATGTACGTATGTATGTCTGTATGTATGTATGTATGTATGCATATATATATATATATGTGTATATGTGTGTATATATATACATGTATAAAGAGAGAGACCTCAACTAATTCTGGTAATATATGTATATACAGAGACAGATAGATAGATAGAGACATAGATAGATTTCAATCATCTATGTCTAAAACTACCTATGTTTCAGACATAGATCAACTGCCCATAGACTTTCAGGCTGAGTAAGGGTCCAGGAAGATGCTCGACTTTCGCTAAGTGTTTTTTTGGCTCGAGGGCCCAGTCGGGCAGAGGGCACCGCAAGAAAGATTTCGAAAGGAATAAATCCGCATACCCACGGTTTCGGGTGTAGGGCTTGGGCATTTAGGCATTTTGCTTGTAGGGTATATTTACAGTAGTTATTCTTTGCTTTTGTGTGCTCTGATTCTGCAGTCGGGAGATCCGGGCAGATTCGTTGTAAATGGCAGATGTCGTCCACAATCGTCCTCGGGCATTGCAGGAGTTAGGGCTGTCACTGATGCGTAAGGCTTCTTTAGCGTGGTACGGCGGTCGCGGGGTTTCCAACAGGGGTGGCGGGCCGGGTATCGATGTTCATGTTGTTGTGCATTTTGTCTGAGCAGCAGGGCTTTGTCAAGCTGACCACTTCTTGTGGTTGGTTTTGTTTCTCACTCGTTTGTCACCGTTGTACCTTCCCTGTGTTTTATGTGGCCGTGTTGAAAGGCTTCCCTTTTGTTCCGAATGTGCAGCAGGAGGCAGGAGGATTGGGGTTTGAAGGTGTGGAGGGTCAGGAAATTGACACGAGATCGCCCCGCAGCGCTCTCTAGTGTGGTGGCGGTGCGCCAGGAACACGCTATCAAACAGCCAGCTTAGGAACAAAAACAAGCCACAGGAGCCGTCGTACACGTCGTACACATGGCGGCTGTTGGCGAAAGGAAGTCCTGACAGTGGAATTGGCGAGGACCTTTCAGAGGAGACAACATTATGTCTTTGGGCAATGTCTCATGGTAAGAGCGGCAAGAGCATGATACCTGGGACCAAGCGAAATGGCAGCAAGATAATGCCTGGTGGCACAACCATCAGAAGAGCAATCGCAGAGCCTTTCAGTCGCAAGGCTTTGCGGGTGTTGCCGGGTCCCGGCGGGGTCGAGGAAAGCGCCAAGCCAAGTGGGAACGCACTCAGGGTGACTCATGGCGCGCTGTCTATTTGGGCTGTCTGACTATCGGGCCGTGAAACTGGGTTGTTAGGGGAAAATCTGGTATGCCTTTACAAAACTAATTAGGGACCCGTAATGGGGCGCATGATCGATCCAAAGTATCGCTTCACCAAAGAACACACATCCAGCGCCAGTGTCGGCAACAGCACCCGTTTTCGATATCGAGTCATGGGGTTCAGGGTTTGGGGCCACGACTTGCAAGGGAGTTGATCACGAACGAATCACAACGCCCAGATTCTGGCTTGCATTTTATCATAGAGCCCTCACTATAACACTGACAAGTCCATTCATAAACCACCTTGGGTAGGGTCCAAATCATTATGATCCCTCTCATGTGCGTTTTGTGCAGAAGCGATGCTCAGTCAGCAGGGATTAACCTCATACCGTATTGTAGAAGTAGCCTTTTTTGACCTTGAGGGTTGCTATATCCTGCTCGCTGCCCAGGGAAGCTCGCCACAGATTCCGCCGAGGCAACTGGGGTTCAATAAAGTGTATAAGGCTTTCAGTGAAAGCTGTCTGTAAGGGTTCTAATAAGTGTGAGGCAAAGGTTCTGCAAGGAAGTGAGTACAGCACCGCTCCCAAAGCTTTGGGTACTTGAGGTTGCGTAAAGAAGCAGGCCCGCAACAATCTTAACCGGCATCCCCGCGTGAACGCCTAAACCCTGAAGATGCGAGAATGTTTGCTTTTCATCCTAAAACTCTTGCAATTTTGATGCAGACTCCACACAAACGCTTGACGTCCTTCAGTATTCCAAGAAGCTGGTTGCAGCTGTTGCCAAAAGTCCCTCGATCGCCATGCGCCTCGCGTTGCGCACTGCAATTACTGAGGTCTACGCGACGGGAGCTCGCCGAAAGCGATCAGTGGTGGAAGAAATGGCCAACGAGTTGGAAGTGTGATGTGCGAGCGGGGGGCGGGGGGGGGTAGGGCGGCCGCACAATTGCGCAAGGCACAAGTGCACGGTGGAAGTTAACGTGCTGTTTCCCAGGCCGAAGAAGACGTCCTCTATTTTTTGAACACAGCTCCGGATCGAGCAGTTTTGTAATAGAGTGGTGTTTACGGTTTAAATAGAAGTAACACCCAGCCACCCTTAGATTGCTACAACATTGAGAAAATGCAAAGTTCTTTCATTCTTTTAAATGAATTCCATTCATGCCCTCAACCCTACAACCCAGTAGGGCCAAAACCGTGAAGGCCAACCCCGAGCCCTTAACCCTAAAGGCTGGCCCTGCAAGACCCCAAACCGTAAAGACCCACGCAGAGAATCCCAAAAAAATAAAATTGTTGACCGATGTTTGCGTTGTTGCACCTACACTTAGGAATGGATTTGTTAGCTGATTGTTGGTTGCACTTGCTTGGGAATGGATTTGTTAACCGATGTTTGCGTGCTCCTGCCTTTTTGCACCGTGCAGGTTGCCGAGACACGGAACGCGAAGAAGACACGAACTGCTCTGGAGGCACCTGCTGGGGTTTGGTGGTTAATTACTGCTCATGGACATGATGCTACACTAACACAGTCTCAAGTATCGTAAAGTGCGGTTGCTTCATGGTGTATTCCTAACTCCTAACCATTATAAACTCTACACCGTTATTTCCGTGTCAAAGCAACCTATCTAAACCATAAAACCCCCAAGCCCTCAAAGCCTAAACCCTGAAAGCCTTAACCGTAAACCCTGTATAAACCCTTAGCGCACTTTCAACCTGAAGTCCTTAAAAGGCAAGCTTAGATAGCGAACGGGGGAACTTTAAACTTTTTGGCCCTATATATTAGCTCTATCTTAGAAAGTTTGAACTTTTGGGGGGGCCGGTTGTTGAAGAAGAGAGCAAGTGAATCTTGAACCATTTTGAGACCCTAAACCCTCAGTCCTTTGAGCGAAAAACCCTGAAGCCTAAACCCTAAAATAAACCTCCAGCCCTATAATCCAAAACCCTACCCCCTTAAACCCTATAATCCGAAACCTTAACCTCTTAACACCTCAGAATCCAAAACCCCTAACCCTTTAAACCCTTGAACCCTGAACCCTTCAGGTCGAGGGCTTGCCCTGCAGAGCCGTTGGCTCTCAACTGTGCCTTTGGCCCGAATCCGTTTTTTGCATTGAGGGTTCTGGTGTGTTTCAGCATGTTTCAGCGTATTTTGCTGGGTTCTAGGGTGTTCCAGCATTTGTTGTGGGTGCTGAGCATGTCAGCGTTTTTGTAGGGTTTTGTGGCGTTTCAGCGGTTTTGTTGGGCTCCAGGGTTTGTTTCGTGTTTTTTGTTAGAGTGTTCAGCTGTTGGTTTTTTCCAGAGGGTGTTTGTGATTGGTTTTGGGAAGCGAACTTCAATTCAGTGCCTCGATCTAATTGGTTTGGTTTGATAGGGTCAAAACTGCGGAACAACCCGATGAAGAACATGGTTTTGGGGCGGGCCTTAGACCTTACAACATTACTCGTTGCAGCCGTTTAGATGTAACCCCAAAGCAATCTACAAACCTAAAAACCCTTGAGATTAAGCCTTTGAGTTCAAGCCCCATCAACCCTAAATTCCCCAGCCCCTACGCTCTTAAGGCGTCTACCTTGTACTACAAAGCAACTACCTTAGGGCTCCAGTTACCTGAATAGTCGGTTATTATTAATTATTGGCATTGGAGTATTCTGTAATACATGGTTAGTAACCTACTATTCAGGCAACTGGAACCCTATTGGGCTAATCATTGGCTGTAGCTGGAGCCCGGCATTTCGAGGCTTCTGCAGCTTCCGCAGCTGGGCGTGGACGGTCGGAGCCTTGACGACTGCGCTTTGGGGATTAGGGTTTACCGAAACCCTGGGCCTTTGTTGGGGTGCCTTTAAAGGGTCTATAAGAGTTACTATAATGGTTCTAGAAGCGTACTATAATTAATTATGTAGGAACCAGATTAAGAAACCCTGGACCTATAACTAGGGCTCATAAGGAACCCTCATAAAGGCCCAAGGTTTGTTAATCAGGTCCCTACATAACGGTTCAGGGGTTTACTGGGTTCTTGTTAAGTTAAGGACCAAGGAATTTGGTTTAAGTGACCAGAATAGGAATCCATGCTACATACTAGGTTTTCTGTATTATGGCAACTTCCTTAACAAGAACCCAGAAGGTTTAGCGTTTAATTGAGGGTTTCGGGCTCAGCGAAGCCAGGGCAGGCTAGGGTTGCAGTAGCAGTCGCAGGGTTTCGGTTCCTTAGACGTTGTAAGCTGCGGTACGCAGGGGCCGAAAATCCTTTTGTTCCACGCCGTCATTCGGTTGTGCTATGACATTCTACCGATTCCTAAACCTTAAAGCCTTAAACTATAAACCCTATATACTAAATCTAATCTCCAAGAGGATGAAGCCCCAGAGCTTCATGACCAACTTTGGAGCCGCGCGAGCTGCGAAGGTCCTGATGACGAGCTGCAAAAGCACTCCTCGGAAGACCTGTTTTAGCTATGGTGCGTTATGATGAACTGTTTGATACTGTCAATAGGATCACTGCCCGATGTACGTTGATGATGGTGATGACGCTGAAGATAACAATCGTGTGTGTATACATCTATATGTAAACACATGTAGAATATGGTATATATGTGTGTGTGTGTGTCTAGAGAGAGAGAGAGAGAGAGAGAGAGAGAGAGAGAGAGAGAGAGAGAGAGAGAGAGAAAGAGAGAGAGAGAGAGATAGAGAGAGAGAGAGAGAGAGAGAGTCAACCAATCAACCATGCAGAAGTATCCGAGGTAAATCATTCCGTCTCCCTCTCGAGCCTCATTTAGCATTCAAGCCCGATATGCCTGAACCTTGAATCCCTGACCCTATCTGCATCCTAAACCCTGAGCCCCTAAGCCCTACAAGAAGCTCAGGCCCGCCGGTCGGGAGGGTCCGAAAGGACGGCAGCATGCTCCTGGAGGTCGACGAGTGGGTCGGAGTCCCGATGCTAAGGTTCGTAAGGGTTGCAGAGGGTTGATTCAAGGTTTTAGCATCCTATACTAGGATGCCCTTATACCCTTTTTGTAGTCCTAGGTTCCCTAAGGAGTTACCCAATACCAAAAAGGGAGCCCTTTTGATTCCTAGGTTACTGGGCATCCTAGTATACTGTAGGCTTTTTGAGTCGAGGCTGAGTACCCACTATTCCATGGCCCCCCGATCCTCGGCTCCCTGTTTGCTCTGAACGCGTAGCTTTAAGCTTGAAAAGGAAGCACACCACATCCCTGAACCTTGACAAGATGCACCTGCATGGCATTTGTTCTTTAAAGCATTACTTAGTTAAAGTCTCTGTGTATGGCTACATATATATATATATATATATATGTATATACGCATATACAATGAGTCAGCTGCGTGCGATGCTAAGATTCGAGAGCTCTTCGACGCCACTCCCCCCCGAGCAGGGACAACTTGCTCGCGCCCCGGGATACACTGTGATATGCGAATATTTACTAGGGTCTGGGATTTCAAGATATTCACAAAACGTTATAATATCTACGATCATGTAAACGTGGTTGAATATACAGTGACTCTATAGGATTTATGAATGTGCATGGTTTTGTAAGCTTTTGCAAGTGTTTTTTGTGCCACAGTTTGGTCCGTTGTCTAGAAGAAGATGGGTGCTTCGTCTTCTTCTGCGGGTGCGGTGGCCGAGCACCAGTGAAAGCAATGTATATGTCGCTTTGTCCGAAACGGTAGGCGATGAACAGAATGACGGTGGGTGCATAATGAGTTGAGTGACGCGTGGTACATATTCATGGTACACTAGCACTAGCGACGACGAGACGACAAGAAACGATGGCGGTGGATACTTAAGCCCTACATTGCTGCTGCGATGATTTGGCAGCGCCACGGCGGCTCCGACGACACTTTCTACCCGTCGACCGTCTAGAGAACGAGTGCAATCCTTCTGAGAGGTAAGAAAGAGGGCTCCTCTGGTAAGAGCAGAAATAAAACATCCATTCACCCTGGTGGTAACTACGGTGGGAATGTACAGGCCTGCATAATTACCACTGCTATTCCTGATTCCTCTCGGTTTGGGGTTTAGGGATCTAGAGAGGACTGTAAGGGCTTCATAAAAAGAACATAGATGTCTGAATACTTACTAATACTGTTCATTAAGGCAAAAACTGTTCCAAATCCCCCAAACTCTATTCTAATTATGAAGGCCCTTGAATGAGTTTGCCAGGGTTCAGGAACCTCTTACTCTAAACCCTAGTATGCAGTTGCTGGGCAGTCCCTAAACCCTCAACCCCTAAACCCTTAACCCTTAAACCCTTACACTCTAAAACCCTTAAACCCTAAACCCTAAACCCTTAAACCCTTAAACCCTTAAACCCTAAACCCTTAAACCCTTAAACCCTTAAACCCTTAAACCCTAAACCCTAAGCCCTAAGCCCTAAACCCTATACTTTTCACGCCCTACAAACCCCGAGCCCTCCTTCTCTAGGACCTAGAGTAGGCTCTTGTTCCCTTCTTTTAGGGTTCAGGTTCCCTTATAAGCCCCTTTAAGCCAAAAAGGAGCACCCTTATTTGTATTCCTAGGATAGTTTTTGGGTCTTGTTTTCCCAGAGAGAGGCTTGGAAGGCTTCCACGCGGGCGCCGCCGCCGACGCTCTGAGGGAGCACAGGCGGGGGCCCAAACTCTTTTGGAGGTTTGGGCTTTAGGGTTTCTTGGGTGTAGGATTTTTCGGTGTTGTTGATTTGGGGTTTAGGAGTCGGGGTTTAGGATTTAGTCCTAGGGTTTAGGCTTTAGGATCTGGAGTTTAGGGTTTAGGTTTAGGCCGGCTAAACATTGCTCAGATCACGAGTAGGATCATTCAATTTTAATAATTGACGGAAGCATAAAGAAGCCTTATTTCAAAAACCCATACAGAATCCGATTACACATGACTTCAGGGCGTCTAGGCTCGGGTTGCTTCCTGGCTCCTTGCAGCCTTGACTTCCCTACATGGGTAGTTGTCAAAAATAGGGGTCCCTTTTTGGTGCCGTATTATAATAAGGACCCAAAAAGGGACCATAGTTTTGACAACCACCCATATCGGTGTAAGGGCTAGGGGAGCAGGTCCAGTGTTTGGGTTGAGGGCTTGGGGCGACGACGATGATGATGACGGAAGCGTAAGCCCTGAACCCTAAACTGTTTGGTTCTTAGTAGGGAATGGGTGGGTATTGGGGACAATCATTGGGGATTATATCGGGACTACTGTCCGGGACTACTATTGGGATCCATTCCCTCGTTCCCTACCAAGCACTAGACAGTAAAGAACGACTGTCATCCCATGGAGAGGCCTTGGTTATGGCAAGGCTTCGCCACTGAGAAGGAGGCCCTTGGGGGCTTGTGCCGTGTCCCAGCGGGTGGTGTTTTGCGGTGTTCTACAAGCAGCAGCATTCAGTAATGAGCAAGTGCTTTTAGAAGGTCTGTAAGGATTTTCCAAGGACTTCATAAGCCATTTCTTGAATTTGGGTGTCCGAAAGATACGGATCTGGTTCAGACATTCGGATTCCTTCAGTCATCCAAGTCTAAGCCCACTTACAATGTTCTCTGATCCCCGTTATACCCTCTACCCCCCTAGACTGCCCTATGGGGATACCAAGAAAACCGGTAGTAGCTAGGCGCATGTGTAAATATGCGAACAAAAATCAAAGCCATAATTAGTTGAAAGCCTGTACATGTCCTTTAAAGGACCCGCCGGTCAAGGGCGTTGCAGACTCTGCCCACAGCAAGCTCGTGCAAATAAGGGAGTCGTGTCCAGTCCGTCTTTTGTAGTCATTGTACAAACAGGGTTTCGGGATGAGCTCTGTTCGAATGACCTGGCCCCTTAATCAGAGCAGGTTCAAGACGCTGCCGCGGAGATGGATGATCTCCGGGAGTGCGGGGCCCCAGTGATGGATCGGTAGCAGGAGGTTGAGGGTTTGGGCTTTGCTGTTTCAACTGTAAGAATGCAGAAATTGAGGGCATGCTGCTTGTGAGGTTCAGGCTCAGGATATGTTGAGTAAATTGCATGGTTCCGGGCCTCAGGCTTAGGAATTACGGTTCCGAACTCTTCTCGGCGACTAAAGAAGCCTCAACAATTAGCACACTCAGTTCCTTATGCTTCCTGTTATCATTCCGGTAACGGATCCCGCAATAATATAGGGGCCGAAATACATAAATACCTATACTATTGTCGGGGCTCCTTCTTAAAACCTTGGTATAATGTACCGCCCCTGTTGTAAGTGGTCGGGCTAGAATCTTGGAATCACCCTGATGGAAACCCTACCAAAGCCTTCCAGAACTCTAAGGCTCAAAATAGCCCCAAACTCGCCTGACATAGTATGGTCTTTGGGCTCCCAAAGCCCGAGTATATGAGCCCTTAAAGCCTTAGGGAAACTGCAACCCTTACAACCCTAAACCGTAAACCCTAAACCCTGATAAAGCTCTTCTGCCGGGCAGGAGAGGGGTGCTGAAGGCTGCGAATGCGGACACCACCGGGGCGCAGAAGGCAACAGACCCGTCGCTTTGGTGGGGTCTACCCATAGGCTTCATTGTAGTTCCTTCTTGGGACTAGCTTATACGATCCTAAATATGAGCCACAAGTGAATGGAGCTACAATGGAGCCTAAAGGTAGCTTCAAGACCATGAAAAATCCGGGCTTTAGGGCTTAGACCCCTAGACTTTGCCTTGAACCATGCAACCAAAGGGGAAAAGGAAGGACCCTTAATGGGGACCCCTACCCTATGATGGGCTATAGAATGGGTATATAATGGCTATATTGAGGGTATATACCTAGAAGTCTTTATTAGGGGTCCCTCCGTTTACCCTTGGATGCAGCTCCTGGAAGCCCGAACTGAGCGTCCTCCCCCTTGCAGCTATCTTATTGGCTTAATTAAAGAGGGGAATCTGTGATATCCCAAGCTTCTGATTTTTGTTTAGGTCCTTTTCTGGGTCCGTATATATGGTTTCGGCCTTGGGGTTTCTGCCAGAGTGTCTAGGGTTTCAAGATCGGAGACATGGCCCTCCGAATGCCCTAAAGCTTAAGGCTTAAGCCCAAGCCCTCAGCCGTAATCTCTCAACCCTAACCCCCAAGCCATCGACCTCGAAATGCTCAGCTTATCAACACTCAAGACAGATGCAATGTAAAATGTTGCATGCCTCTCGACACATGATGTCCTAAAGAATAAGTTGTTGATGAAGTTTCGTGTGCAAGAGTCCGTAAACCGGAAGCCCTGAACTCACTCACTCACGCACGCCAGAGGAGGATCCTGTGCTAGTCAAGAGCATGCACGGCCGAAAAGCGTCCCTGCTGTAGGGGCGCGGCCAAGGCAACATCAAAGCAACTGTACAACAACAAGGCGGACTGCTCACGCGGCAGGATACGCCCAAAACGCTCGCAAAGAGCGAGGGCGGGACGGAAAGGGCAGAACCGAAGCCCGGAACCTCACTTAAGAGGTACACTAGTGCAATATATGTTGTAACTGTAACTCTTGCACCGACAGAGTCTCCAACACCTCAGGCTCATAGATTGGCGGTAGATCCTCAGAATCCTCCAGTTAGGAGACTGCCTAGGTAGCAATAGTAAACCAATATTTTTTAGAGGGTTGCCGGATTTTCAAACTGTTGATTTACGCTAAGACTCTATTCTGATCCTTCGGCCCCTCATATTTCGTCAAAACGACAGGCTCGCAGTGACCGCATCGCATTTCTCGAGGCCAGGGGTTGGAAGGTTAACTCGAGATTTGGTGTGGTTCAGGGGTCTGAGTATTCTTGGGTGACGCTGTCAGTTTACACATGTCCAACATGTATAATATGATGTAGGACGAGCCAGCATACGTTTGTGACTGTCCGTTTTACACTATCTTCTGGTCTTCAATGGGATGCCCACGGCTTAAACATCATCGTCCGGAAGCTTCCAAAGCTCTGAGTGCACTACGCTTGCCTTTGAGAGATATGAGATATGAGTATGATAGGATAGAAAGAGGGTGCCACCCTTCAGCATCCCGCAATAGCGTAACGATTTCAGGTCGCATGGTGCATGTTCTTATAGTATCCTTAAGGGAGGGGGCTCCAAGCGGGGTATATAGCCTAGTGATCCCTAACTCTCCCTAGTACTCCCTAAGGTTCCCCTAAGGATTCCTTGTACCCTCCCCCCTTGAACCACCCCCCCCTTAAGGATCCTATAATGTTCTGAATTTTGACTTAGAGTTTGGTTCTGGTCCGGTTCTCCAGGCATTGAGGGTGTCGGATTAGGGTTTAGGGTTGCGGATTTTGGTTCCAGTGTGGAGGAGCACACCCTGGATGCAAAGCTACGCAAACCTACAACCATGGTAGCCAGTCCCAGCAAGACTGGAGTGCAAGACCCTAAGCCATAAACTTGCCTTAAACCTCACCTCAATCGTTTGCATCCCAAAGTGGCACCACGAAGCCTGATCAACCCTGACCCCTAAACCATTCTTCTGGTTCAGACGATTAGACGCGCAGATTGCAATCGATAAGAGAGCCCGGAAGTTTGGTAGCCAGGTTCCTCCTTGCAAGTATTTACGTGCATTAAAAACATAAACATGCATTTCGTATATACTTGTGTATATGTTTATATATATATATATATATGTAGATATAGTTATATACATATAAACTTATACATATGTGTGTGTGTATGTATGTATGTATGTATGTATGTATGCATGCATGCATGTATGTATGTATGTATGTATCCATTTCAAAACCCCTAAACCACGTGAAGTTTCAGCCATATAAGGGTTGTTGGTTTATACGGGGTCAACTTCCTTCAAGCCTAAACAACTCAAAAATCCCACCCGTTTGAGGTGCTACGCACCGAAACAACAAAAAAGTTGCATTCCGAAAATTGTAAGTTCGCCCTACACCCTAAACCCTAAACCGTAGGCATAAGGCAAGCCCTAGCCCGTCTGAGCGCTTCAGCTGGATGACGAGAAGTCTCCAAACTGTCTTCTGCTTTTTCGGCGAATGGAGGCTCAGAATTCCGTGGCTTCCCCTGAACCCTATAAACCCAACAGATGCGTCTTGGTATTCTGAGTTCGGTTCCTTTGTAAGGGTTTCTGTTACGAGGGGTCCTACAAAGCTTGCTATGACGGCTTATTTTAAGGGCCTTGATATCTTGAAGGGGGCTTTCGCTGTTTTTCGAAGGTTAGTATAATTACAACAAGGAACCCTGATGATGGTATTGATACTGGAAAGTGCCAGGCCCCTATACAGAACTCCGTACTAGAAGCAGCCAAAGCATACGATAGCCCTCAGAACCTAGACTAGTGCTAGAGGCCGCTAGATTACTTGGAGGATCATGGGACATAATGTTGACTTCCTAATAATAACCCCCCCCCCCCCCCCCCCCGCCTTCGACATTGTTTGCTGGCCGCGGGTGGGGGGGATTGACTATTGAGGGGGGGCCCGTCGGCGCTTGGTTTCTAAAGCTTGCGGTCCTTTTCCTGGCCTCTGAAGGCACAAGAAGTAGCTACATTTTTTTGGGGTTCCCGGCGGGGGGTTTCGTTTTTGAGGGGGGGTTTATAATTGAGTTCCGGGGGTGGGGAGTGCTGTGGGATCGTGCTGCAAGAGTTGGAGTTCACCTAGACCCCCCAACTACCCGCTAATGTACCCCAAATACCCACATTTAGGCTATTAGAAAGCCCTTGGGGGTCCTGGCACGGCGTTTGAGGATGTTTAGTTGGTGGGTTGGGGCTTGGGTTTCAGTTTTTCAGGGCGCCTGAGTAGAGCTATCCCAGGAAGCGTCAATAGCGGGGGTTCTCAAAACTGCACTCCTTGGCGTTCCGAATTATCGTCATAATGTAGGGTTTAGGGTTAGTTATAGTAACAGTTCTCCCCCAACCCCATTCTATTGGCAAAGGTTTCCATTCTGCCGACGAGTGCAGAGCTTTCTCCTGGTTATGCCGTTAGGACGCTAGCCAACAGCTGTATTGCAGGGTCTTCCGGAGCTGTAAAACCCTAACCCCCAAAACCCCAAGGCAGAACCCTAGATCCTAGCCTCATCGGAGAACATTGCCGGCTGCTGCTAGAGCGCCGCTACTTTGCAGGTTTCCGCGGAGTGGCATCCGTAGACAAGATGCGGATATCGCTTCGAGAACCTAGAACGCCACAATACCGTGACACCCCTATAAACCTTAAGATATTGGGTTGAAGGGGTTCCGCATGGTTTAGAGTCGTAGGTATTTGGGTTGAGGGTGCCCTCGCGGGTTTGCAAGTTTTTGGGGCATAGGATTGGGGCCGGGATCGAAGTCGGCAATCTTCCTGAATTGAGGGATGGTGTGTAGCGCCGGAGGTTACACGCCAGTTGTGTACCCCACCACATAAGCCCTAGTCTGAGGTTTTTAGGGTTGAGGGTTTCAGCAGAAGGTGCAACGTTTTGTCCCGGGTTTGAAACCTGAACTCGTCGTGTTGCCGTGCTACGGCGTCCTAGGAAGTGGCACAAGAAACAAAAAGGCTTAGGCGGAGTCCCTTGGTGATTGTGTCTGTTGCTGCAATTCTGGAAAGACTGAAGCTTAGTTACAGTTTGCTGCAGAGGACATTCCCTCTTCACCGTGCTCCGCAGAGTGCCGCCATAAAGTCGAGCGCCCTCCGGATCCAACGATTCCTGACATTCTGGCTTTGTGTTACTTCACCGGTATCAAAAAGCGCGCACGTCCACATTGGAGCCCCACGCCTGGTGCTCCAGCCTCGAGCCGCTGCTTGAATCGTAGCGGCATCTGAGTCCGCCACCCCGAAAACTTATACCGCATGAGCCCAAGCTAACGACGAGTTCCGAACAAAGCCTTGAGCTGGCAACCTTTACGGCATACCACATCCCAACTTTTCTTCAGACACTGGAGCACAGCGGACCTTTGAGCCGACAGTGTCAAGCTCTCCAAAACCCGAAACCAAAGCACTGACGCCGCTGGGCAGTCTGAAACTTTGATCCAACAACCTCGAACTTCCGAACTGCAAAACCAGGACCTACAACCTCAAACTGTATACCTGAACTTGGTTTGAACTTTAACCGGCACCTCCGCTCTCACACCCGAGAACTTCAAGCCTAAACCTCTATAGACCCTAAACCCTAAACCCTCAATTCTATTTTTGGGTTTCTGCCTGGACATCTCTGGGAGGCGGCAGTTGCCACGCTGCGATGGAGCGAGGGAGGCACCCTCGTATTAACGTATTATTGAGGCAAAAGTAATTTGCGGTTGCTGACCGTTTTCAGCCTGGATTGTCAGACGGGGGTGGCTCTTCGTAAATCAACCCAGTTTTGCCGAGGTGGGGTTGGGGCCTGCAGCCGTGTACTTGGCAGTCTTGCATCTACATGGGCCCGCACGCTATCGAGCCGGATGTTTCGTAAGCCATACATAAAACCTTGTAAAGTCCCGGAACCAAACATTATGCTCCAAAGCCCTACATTCTATGCTCTATACAAACCCCCAAAAACCCTAACGCTCCGAGATGCGCTGCAAAATCCCGAAGAACATCTGAAACTTACAACACGCATCCCAGGTCAGTTGCTGCGCCCAAAGTTCGGCATGGCAGCAGCCACACCCTCAGTCGAAGCTTGAGGCTTGTGTATGAAGGTTTAGTGGTCTTTCTAGGATGGAAAAAGCGTTCTAGATGATTGGGTTTAAGGTTTGGGGCTTTAGGATTGGACGTTTGAGTTTAGGGATGTAGAGTTTTTGGGGTGAGGGATTAGGGTTATACAGTTTATTAGGCTTCCGGGCTGGCTGGGGCCACTGCCATGGCAGCAAAGGGTCCCCTACGGGGTGGTTTCAACGGGGTTCATGAGGGCTTTGCATTAGAAGCTGCCCCCACCCTGTAATAGTGGTATAATAGGAATATAGGGCCCTAATATAACCCTATATAACCCTTATGGTCACTATTACAGGGTGGGGGCAGCTTCTAAGCTTTGCAGCAGTAGTGATGTTTTCTGGCTTAGTGGACTGGCAGCCGTCAGTGTCCGTCACGAGAGAGCTTGATCACGAATCAGTCACCAACCTCCTGTTCTGAGTTTCCGTTCTTGCCTTGTTTATTCCGCCGATTCAGCATCCGACAGCAATCCGGTAATTCACCTCGCAGGAAGCTCAAACGCAGAAACAGGAAAGCCCAACCCCGAATGAAGATTGCTGACAGCAGGCAAAACAGACGAGGTCCACCGAGCACAGTGAGAACATGGGAAGCAGATCTCACGATGCTCTAATGGGTTTCAATTTCTTCCACCCGCTTTTTGAACCGGTTTTATAGTCAGTTTTATATCCATGAGCCAAGAATCGAAGCAGGTTGCCAAGACTGTTACAATCAGGATTTGTGTGTTTCGGGTTTACTTTATCCCCACCCAAAGAGCAACCGGAACCCTTTTTCAAAGATTTCTCCTAAACCTTACGATAAAACATAAGCAGGAACCTCAATCTTCTGCTATAGGGGCTTTAAAAAATGGCCTAATATATTTCCGGGTTCCTTATTATAAGAATAGCATAATGGGCCCCAAAACCCTATTCTAATTATTAAGCCCCTATATTACAGTCCCGTTGTAGATCCCTTATATAGAACCCTGTAAGGAACCGTCCAATTCCCCTTTAAACTTTAAAGGAAGCCCTATTCTAACTATTAAGGCCCCCATATTATGTTTTCAGGTTTGAGGTAGGCTGGGGTCTGCAGGCAGCTTGGGGAGGGGTCTTGGTACGCCTGGAGGTTTCCCAAAAATCAGGGTTCCTTTTCGGGTTTGGGGTTTAGGGTTCAGGGGAGAGGGCCCTTGTGCAGCGGAATTTGTTGGGTGTTCCGGTTAGGGGTTCTTGGATTGAGGACCCGATTACTAGGGTTGGGTCCCCGATTCGTGAAACTTTCACATCGAGGTCTACGACAAAGGCGGAAGCTATGCTCCGCATCGCGACAATGAGCGCACTGGCCAAAGACTACGCCAGTGGGTCCGCACCTCAGGCCTAGGCAGCTAAGAGAAGCCTCGCGTTCTCCAGTTTTAAATGGGTTTAGGATTTAGGGTTCGGGGTTCTGGGTTTATTATGCTTTTTCAGGGTGTAATTAGGGTTGTTTGGGTTTTGGGTTTTTGGGGCTTTATAAGGTTGTAGTTAGGGCTGTTGTTTGGTCAAGTGTCCTCTGGGCTTTCGCAAAGGCGTTATGGCGGTTCCATTGTCTGTGGACAGCCTCCATCAGCAGTGGGTCGACTCCTATCCCTGTGTCATTTGGTAGTATTGTTAGGGAAACCCCTTAAAGGGTACCCTTCTGAACCCTACTTCTGGCTCTCTTAAAAGGGGCCTTATTGAGAGGGTCTATATCCCCAAGGGTCCCCTAATCCTAACTCCCAGTCATCCCCGTGCTGCGGCTTCTATAAAGGCTAAAAGCCCGGTCCTGGCTCTTGAAGCTCGAAGAAACGGGAGAACCCAAAGCATCCAAGGTTCAGGGCTTAATGTAATTAGGTGCCTTAAGTTATCTCTGACACTTATAGTTACAATATGGACCCTACAGAATATGATACCTGGTTATCTTCCGTAAGAGTGGTTCGTTTTTGTTTTTGTGTTGTTCAGGTCTTGCTAGTTTCGGGCGCAGGATTCCCGCTGATAAATGAGCACGGGACTGCCGCGGGCACAAGTTCCATCCCTTCATGATACATGCCATAGTACGGTGGGGAGAGCGAAATGTATGAAGTGGGAGACGTCCCAAGGCATACTGCAGCATCGTATTCCTTAAAGCTTCTTGGTTGCTCGGCCATGGAAAGCGATCTGCACCCTGTACCATCAACCTTTGGGTGTAGATAGCATGAGTAATTTCGGGTTTGGAGGTTTAGGGAGTTTAGGATCAGGGTTTTCTGTTCGGCTGCAGGAGTTTAGGGTCAATAGGTTTCACGGACCTTGACCCTCTAATCTTAACCCGAAGCCGACATGCCAGGTGAATTTCCGCGCATTGACGGCAGTGATTTACGTCGCTCGCATGCAAACTGCAAGCCCCCACTAAGCAGCGAAGTACCCTAGACGGGGCCTTATATTCCTAATATTAATTAAGAGGCAATGACTTGCTGCAGTAAGGTCAGGCCGTAAAGCTTTGTTGGTGAACTTCTTGATTGAGTGGTATCAGTAGGGCTGAAGGGATTTCCGATGTGTTTGAGTTGTTCACAGACTCCTACACCCTCAAATGATAGCGGGATCCCAAGCACGTTCTAAGGTCTACAGATTTGGGAGTCTCTGGTTTAGCCTAAGTCCATGCATGCTGCAGAGTCTTGGGCCCCTGAAGAAGCCCCCGGCTTCCTTTAGCCCCAGCGGCACTCCGAGTCCTAAGCCCTGCGCTCAGCACCTAACCCTGAAACCGCTGAAGCGCCAAACCACGAGGACCTAGAGTAGGCCCTTGTTCTTTTTTGCTTAGGGTTCAGGTTGCCTTATGAGCCACTTTAAACCAAAAAGGGCACCCGTTTTATTCCTAGGTTACTCTGGGGTCTAGGAAGCCTTAAGACATGTTCATCCCCAAAACCACAGGTGTACATCCCGTACATCTTACACCCGAAAACTTACGATGAACAGATATCTCCAAAGACCTGTATACATTCCTTCAAAACCCTTATGGAATGTTGAAAAACCGCTATAATGTAGGGGCCGGAACAATGAAGAGGGGTCGTAGAGCAGCTGCAGTACAGAATACCCCACAAGTTCAGTGAGTAGGCCCGTACATTAGACTATAGGTATCGATGCTAGATCATATTTAAGTTCCCTTATTGTTTATTGAAATCGACACCCAGTACAGCCCTTTTGAGTACTTTGGACGGGCTTCGATCCGAAGGTGAACCCATCCGGCTTCACCTCCCCTGAGGCATCGGTGGCCGGTTTGCAGCAGGGAGTTCGGAGAATCTTGGGGCCTGTGCTTAGGGCCTTCATTGTGGGTAGGGCCTATGGGACCCCTATGGGCAGGCCCTACTTCTGGGACCCTTATGGGTAGGCCCCACTTATGGGACCCTTCTGGGTATGCACATGTGTCCGAGACTATTGGTTTTGTGTTTCGGTTCGGGCAGGTATTCAGACGCTGTGCCTTTTTGGTATCTGCTTCGGCGTGTGATTCACAGCAGCGCACGCAAGCAAAAGTAGCAGCACAACCAAAACCACCATGACCAATAAAGCCACACAATAACAACCCCCGTCAAGCACAACAGAAAAACAGAGCACACTCAACGAATGCAAAATTAGCAAGCATAAGTTGACGGGTTGTAAGTGTTTCTGGACACCGGGCCAAGACTTTCAAACACATGCGTAGTTTTTGTGTGCTCGGGCTTGCTTTTTAACATATTCTTCTTGGGAAATCTCTATCCTCATCCCACACAACCCTGAGCACTGAAAGTAACGACACTTGACCCTAGAACGCCAACACCTTTTCCTCTAAACTCTAGAAGCTAAGCTAGCGCTTGGCGGACTCTTGGTCTGTCCTTTTCGAGGATGGCGGGCAGCTGCGGTGTCACCTAGGAGCAAGGATCGATGATCTCAACGGGGTCAGCGGACTCAGCCGTTGAGATCTTGGTGGATTTCAATAAGACTTTCTGGAAGATCTTTAGAGATTGGGGTTTAGGAGACTGACCACAGGGGTCGGAATACATACCTTCTAGTCCCTACATAGGTGGAGTACCCCAACGCCATCACTGTAATCATGAAGGCGCCTGCATTAGCTGCCAGTAGAGTTCGTAGGCTGATGCCTTCATTAACGATCGAGAATCTTGAGCTAAAGCAATGCAGGAGCCTGCCCACTGCATTTTTGTGTTCTAAAAACTGAGCACTTAATCATGAGGACCCTTAAGGGGGTAGTGGGAGGGGTTAGGGGGCCTTAATGCATGTATTAAGGACTTTATAAGGCCTATTTGAGGAAATGCAGTCCCCTACCCCCCTCCCCCTTACCCCCCTAATAAGGGTCCTTATGACTTGAGCTAAGCCAGCTGGAGAGCATGTTCGTTCACTGCCGAAGTGCAGTCAAACGCCAGGCCTACTCACGAAAACAGGAGCACCCAAAAGCCACCCTTGCAGAGGCCTTCTAGGAACCCTTTGCGCTGGAAGAGCCTTCAGCCCTAAACCGGGCTGACAAAGCCCCAAACTGTCAAAACTGCACCCTCAGCCCTAGACCCTAAACCTGAGACCCTAACCCTACAATATAGATACCCTAAACCTTAAAGATCCTTAAAGCCTAGACACCAAACCGAAGCCGTTGAGGCCACCGCCCTCGAAGTGCAGGTTCTGCTCTCAGCCGTTCTGCCGGCCTTTCTTTTGCAATGGGTTTGTTCAATGGTTTCGGGTAGAATGAAGAGTCTCTGCGGTTTGCAAAGCTAGATTAGTACGAGGTTTGGCTCGTGATCAAGTCTGGGGTCAGGAGTGCTAGGACTCGGGTTTAGGAGTCCGATGGTTCAGGGACAAGGACATGAAGAATAGCAGTACATGTTGTTCGTAGTTTTGGGTGACAAGGTTTTGTTGGTGGGGTATGTGATGGATTCTATACTAGTCTGTACTATTCTATGTCGAAAAGCAACACGGAGAGAACTGCCATTTGTCACTTAACCTATGACTATGTGACTTTTGAATATTCCGACAGGTTGATATATGGTGCTTCCTGCCTTTCAACCCTAAACACCGGACCTCTGCGCTTGTTTTTCCCTGCAGCTTCGCCCTAGTCGAGTGACACCCTTCCCCCTAAACAAAGCAGCCTTAAAGCTCTAAGGCATGGGAGTTTCAGAGAACGTGCGACCCCTAAGCAAGAGCCCTAAGTCGTAGCAGGCGTCGGTTGAAGGTCTGGTCTTGAGCCTCCAACTTGGTAGTCGTCCAGAGTTGGGCTTGGTACCGTGCCTGAAGCGATGGCCCTGGTGGAGTCATATGAAAGTTCCACGCTTTATGGCCAGAGTTCAGTGAAATAACCAATTTGGGGTTTCCGAAAAGAAGTGACCCTCTTGTAGAACCCTACACTTAAACCGAAGGATCCTTGTTGTAAAAACCTCCCAAGAAAAGGCCCTGTTTTTGAGAAGCTTCCAAACCCCGCCGACAACCTCCAGAGGATGTTGCTCCTCGGGGTGGCCTTGCCGTTCTCTTTCCCGCGCGGCGAGTCCTGCACGAGGCAGCTGGGGAGACAAGCAGGAAACTGTAGATCCCTGAATTCTCAGTCACCTTATGAGGACTACATGTTGGTCCGAATACACTGCTGTTGCTGCTGCCACAACTGTGACTACTGCTGCTACAACTCCTGCTGTCACCCCCATTGTCTCCCATGGGTTCAAGCATGACAGCCATAGCCAGCAGTTAAAACAGGTGATGATAATGAATCCAATCACAAGAGCATCGCGGGTTGTCAACAGCAAGCTCTCACCCTGAAACGCGAATCCTCGAGGCTGCAGTCAATCCCCGAAAGTCCAACTGCACGGGCGAACACGAAAACCTAATTGCCAGGTCTTGCCTAGCTTCCGACAGCGCTATGCCTTGACGCGACGACCCAAGAAGGATCCGGCATAAAAGTTGAAACTATGGAACTGGGTGGTTCAGGGTTTGGGGGTATGTAGTTTAGGGTTTCGGGGTGTGTTTCACTTTTTCGCTACTCTTCGCATGGGATCCCAGAGGCTTTATGCGCACTTCAAATTTTTGCTTCGCAAGAGGATCTGGCACATAAACTGGAAAATTCCTGGTAGCTTTGTTCAGCATTCAAGGCATGTTCCTTTGTCAAGTACGTAATCATGGGGTTCCCAGCCTTAAACTAAGACAGTTGCTAACAGATTTTAGGCTGGTTTGGATTGCTGTGTGTGGGTTCATATCACTTTTACAGTTATACGGCTTCAAGGAATGTTTCGAGCACATGTGGGGGGGGGGGGGGGTATTTGGTGTTCTCACAATATGCATCACACCAGTTTGCGATTGTATTTGGGTCACTCAGTTGCTGCAGCGGATGCTCGATTGCAAGAGCCTCAGATTGATCCGAAACTTAAATTTGCCAAGACCATATACAAACCCTTGCAAAAAGAACAGTTATACATATATAGACAGAACAGCAAAAATATACAAATCATGTAACTTAAGATGAAATGATAACTCGAAATTAAGAGAGGTTTAAAAACAGAGTAAGCGTTCAGAATAAGAGCTCGCAGAGATGCTCTCTTGAGGCTTTGGTTCCTGGCCCCAGGAGCCGGCTTGGACTGATCTGCAGGTGGAAGCCTTGCACGGCATAGGATGTCTGCTTTGTCATAGTTGGGTAACACTTTACATTCTTATGGTTATTTGAACCCAAGGGGAATAAACATGTACCGTTTTAAACCTATCCCAACAATGAACTAGTCTGACTCGAGGTGAAGGCTTATAGAATTATAGAATTATAGGGCCTAAAGGGGTCAAAGGGGTTTAGGTTAGGGAGCCCTGACTGAATGATAGAACCTGAAACAACATGCAGCTACGCATGTTTGGAGCTTAGCCGTGTTGAACGTGCGGTTGAGTGTTCGGGATTTAGGGTGAGTGAAGAAAGGAAGGAGCCGTAGCAATCGCAACATCAGGACTGAGATAATTCACTCCTGATTCAGGTTATCATTCTCTGAAGAGTTATTGCTGAGAACATGTGGCTCAGAGTCCTCGTGGCTGTACGGGAAGATGGACGCGAGGATGGAGCCTGAGGTATGTACGTATGAACGCTATGCCGCGATGGCGATACGGGATGCAGCTAAAGGGCTCTCGGCTTTCGCATGTGCTATGTCCGAGACCGAATTTCCAAAGACGCGATTTCTGCCCGGAGTGCTGCCTTGATTGCAAGTGTGCTGTTTTTCTTCGGTAGTTGCCTTATTTCATCAGCCGTATGTGCACTAGAAGGCAAGTCTCCCCACGAGAGTCACGAGAGTTCTGTACACAGCCGAGCCAGCCAAGGCTGGAGATCGCACAGGATGGCACGTGGGTCGACTACAAGGCCGTGACGGTCCTCAAGCGGTTCGATTCATCTTCGAGACCTTGGCTCTGCAAGCTGCATCCGTTCCGAGGCCAAGAGCAACCCCAAGTCATTTTGAAGCCGGAGGATCTTGGCCGTGAGGCCTGCATTATGCAGATAGCTTCGAGATGCAACTCGATTTGGCAGGCCAATCAGGTGCAATGTTGCGGTGAAGTCGTGTACGTGAAGACCTATCGAATCTTTCCCGTTGGTCCAGACTTCGGGGTCGTTGAAGCAGTGCCCCACGCCACGACCATACAAAAACTCAAGCGGGACTGCCCGAGCGGCAGCCGGCGTCGTCACCGAGTGCATCACTTCCTTCAAGGGAATGATGGCAAGCTGAACCGGCTGGCAGCCACAACAGCAGGGCTGTTGGCCATGTCCTACATCATCGGCCTTGCAGATGGCCACGGTGACAACTATATGATCACAACGGAGGGCGAGTACTTCCGCATTGACTTCGAGCACACCTTTGGCGAACGGCCTTCGGGGCCTGACGTTCCCCGTCTCTGGCTGCCTCTTGCGGTCCGCGAAGCCTTGGGCGAACGCTTGGACGAGGTGCCCAGATAAAACCAATCCTTTTCAACAGCCCATTTTCCCAACATGCCGTTGAGAACCACAGTCCGGCTAAGCTCCAAAGTCCGCTCTCATCCCTAAAAACCCAAACCCTAGCAAAGGTTAGGCGCCTGTGCAACCAAGGTGATTGATGCAGCGCAGCTGGCGGTTGAAGTATTGTTTGGCCTCCCCAGCAATTACCTTTGGGATCTGCTCCAGGCGGTGATGACAAAGAACTTGACTCAAAGGTTCTATAGGGTCTTCGCAACCTGCAGCTACTGTAACTTATAAGAGTCTCAATGCTAAGTCTATCACCTGGAATGCAGGTTGAGGGTGTAGCCAGCTCCCGAACTATCCTTTAATGCCAACCGCGGGTGCTACCGGAAATCCAAGAAGGCTCATGCGGATTTGGGGAGTGCAGGGCTTCGGGTGAAACGGGGCTTATAGACATGCGATATCCAGACCTCCCAGCTTCCTGAAAAACGTAGGGTTCAGGGACAGGTAGTGAATTTGTGATTGCTCCTGCAACCACTTTTAAGGATTCCATACTCATGCACACAGCCCGTAAAGCTTCCAAGCAATAAGTCGACAGCTTAAGCTTCTCCTCGCTACTGGATCTCGGAGCAATGCGGTGTAAGCAGCTATATCAAGCGATCTAGGCCACTTCGGATACATGCGTCAGGATGCATTGCAAGAGCCAAGCTGGGGATTGCTTCGAACTCTGCGAACCGAGGGTGCTCTGTAGGCCCGATCATCAGAAGTTGCAGAGAATGAGACGGCATATTCCATCGTTCCCGTTCGAATTTGCACTAGACGTTCTGCTTGCAGCAGAAGTAAGTCTCAACAGGAGTAGCATATCAAGTCGTGCACATCAGGTGCTGGATATGGCTTTCCCCGAAAAAGAAAGTGCTGTGGAGTATGTCACTCATCTTAGCGTTGAGGAATTCCAGACAGAAGTGCAAGGTGTTCGAAGCTGTACGACGGTGAAATGCATGAAGGGGATGTGCCGGGAGTTGGGTTATGGCAAACCACGTTGGAGCCGCCACCACGCGAAGCTCAACGTCAAGTCTCCAGCAGCTTTGCTGTGCATCTGCAGGCAGCGCAGGCTGCGCCATGTCTCTCAAGCACAGGAGTTGGTCGATTTTGCCGAGGCTTTGTGTTCAATTGGGCGATTGCCCCGGATGGTACACGTTGACGACACATTCTCCCTGTTGTCAAGGCTCGAGGCGCCCAGCCTACTTCTGTCATTAATCGATGCAGTGAATCAAACGGTTTCAGGTGCTTCAGAGAACACCAACATGCTTGCAGAAGGTCTGGAATCTCTTGTCAATTGGCTTTGCAATGCACCGATGCAGCAGCAAGAAATGCTGGACGAAGCTGCAGCGAGCATGCATGTGTTGGACACCAATGGAGCGTTGACCGACGAGCAAGGCGCGGAGCTTTTCCAAAGGGCAGAAGACATGTTAGCGTGTCAGCAAGTTGCGGCGGTCATGCAGGAGAACAACGGGCTTTTGACCCACCAGCAAGTCGTGGAGCTTGTCCAACAGGCAGCGGAGCATCCGGAGACAGAGCTCACGCAATGGCTTGAGCGCCACTGTTCGGCTGGAACCTTTGAACGACTCATGCAATGGCATCAGTTGCACGTCCATAACCTGGAGCAAGCTGCATCAGTGGCGGATAACTATTCTGGGTCATGGCTTCCTGGAGTTCTGGGCCTTAAATGCCTTAAACTGCTTTGCTGGGACAGAGACGTCATGGGTGCCGTGCTGCCCGTGGCCGTTCACTTTTTCCTCCCTCGAATCATGGCGATCTTGCCTGCAACAATGGCAGCAACCCCCGGCTTCTTAGTGTCCTTTGCCTTGACGAACGCGTTCCGAATGCTGCCCAGTCTTGTTCGAAGCCAGATGCTCCCGGGCTGCAGAGGGCACAGCAGGCAAGCACTGAACCTCAAGCCCGAAACCCGACGCCAAATCTCGAGCTCCAAACCGAGATCCTTAACCTGGAATAGCTCGACTTAGCCTCAGCCTTAAACCAACATTGCACGAGGTTGACGCATTTCTTGAGCAAGCTCCATCTCCAAGGACATCCGGAGAAAGATCAGGTTGAAATGGCATACTGGCAGTTAGGGCACAGGTGGGCATGAGCCAAAACGGGTTTTGTCCCTCGAAACAAATGTAGCCATAGATATAACATGATGCATCTCTTGCTGTCATCTCAGAGGTTCTTGCCGTCCCGGCTCGGACAGAAAGATGATTTTGAGGCGGTCAGCGTGGCGTACATGGTATGCCTAGCCCTTCTTGATGAGCCGTCCCGTGAACCCATGGAATGAAACGCGAAACCTGCGGGTGTTGGTATGAAGCTCCCCTTTTTCACATGTCGTGGGAGCGCTGCAAACACCGCTCTTTCTCCTCTGCTTGCCTCAAGTGCGACGGAGGTCGTCGAGGAGCTGCGAAATAGCAGAAGTAAGGGATGAAAGATTCCCCAAACTTCGAAGGTAGTGCTGCATGCAGTTGGACAAGTTTGACATTGCTTTGGCAAAAGGAGCCGCGGCAGAAGACAGGGCAGTCTGAGCACACGATGTCTAATCTGTCTTGTGGGTGTTCTGGCGTATAAAAGATCAGGCTTGAAGGCTCTTCGGCAACATACTTTAGAAAAGGGACTGGCTATGCTGCCCGTCCCATTCCTGCTGCGCGTTTCGGTTTGAGGCTGAGTTATGTTGGTTGTATGTAGGGTCTAGTGACCCGATACAGCGAAACTACAGGGTCAGCATAGCAGATGCGCCAAGAAGAGCTGGTTGGTTCAGTATGCAGGCTTCCAAGACTTTCCTACTGTAGTTTTGTTACAAGCATTGCAGCGTTTCCGGTGCTTCTTTTGTGCGGTCCTTGCAATCAGCCCTGGATGCGTCAGGGTTTGTCGTAGGTTTAAGCCAGTCTACCACCACTTCATTTCTGACTCTCAGGCACGGCTCGTGGACATGGCGAGGGCGTGCCGTGCACTTGCGCACCCCTCGAAAACAGCTCTGCGTGGCGCAGTTTCGGCACGTGGGGTTCAGGGGCTTTGGATCTGTGCTTGTTGCTATAGGACTGTTGTTGGCGGAGCAGTGCTGTTGTCGATGCTGTAGGTGTAGCAATTATCTTTACATTCTCTTGTGCCACGGACAGGTCCAGACCAGCGCAACAGCAGATGTCCTTTGACACTAAAGGATGCGACTCCCGAATTAATTAGAGGCACTACGCAGCGCCCGCACATTCTCTTGCCCATGGACTTCGACAATCACGGGTTGCTCTGCTTATTCCGTGCCACTCTCGATGGACAAAGCCCTGCACTGCCATGCGGTATACCTGAGTCCAGCCCTGTTTTATTACGGGAAGGCACAGGAACCCTTAAAGTGCTTGTAGCACCTTGCGCAACACTGTCTAGACCTTTACCATCAACATCAGGGTTGCGATCCGTGCTGTCAGCGGTTTATGATGCACTTGTCCGAGGAAGCTCTAGTCACCGGTTGTTACGGCTTTAATCTTTTAGTATAGGGAATTACGACATGTAGAGCTTTAGTCCATAACCCTCTAGCCTGACGGGCATGTCGGTTGCAGATGACAGCCCCTCAAACCCTAAATTGACATCTAGAGATTCTTAGGGCTTTTCAGGCCTCAGTCGACTTGAACACTCAATGTGGAGGTACATGGACCTTCAGGGACCGTCATTGCACTTTCAAGTTTGCACCACGGCAGCGTTGACATCTCAAGGTCTCAGTGTCAGATGCATCCCGAGCTCTCCAGACCTTTACTTCGCTTTCGGGTCTAGTCCAGAAAGCCCCACGGCCTCACTAACCGATGGAGGTGCTCCCCCATGCACCCGGATCAGCTGCGAATGCGATTCAGGTTTCATCGTGTCCTCAAGACGGTAAACAAATGCCTAATCCCGACATCCTCCTTTGCATAAGGGCTTAGGTTTAGGGTTGGGGTTTTATAGAGACCTTCGCAGCTGGCCCAAGCATGGCACCCTCCCCGCCGAAACGGATCAGACGCAAGCGGGTCGAAGGGCGCCTTTTCAAGATTTTGAGCGCTTGCACTTTTTGGCCGTTAAGATGCCTGGGCTGCAGGCCCCTTAAACTCCACCTCGAATCCTGAACTTTGAGCCCTTAGCCGTCACAAGCTGTAGCCTTCCATACGCTCGTACTCCAGTGCAAGTGCGAAACTTCCGTTCGGGACGTTGCGTCGGTGGGACGCACAGGTGTGTTGATCAGTCCTTGTCAAGAGCTTGAAGGGAAATCACGATTGGATTTGAGCAGGTGCCACAGGCGTAGGGTTTAGGATGAATGCTTGCCATTGCATCGGGTGTGAAATTTAAGGGCTCCGTGTTACAGAAGGGCGCAGGGATCAGGGATTTCCGCGCCTAAAGAGTGTCCGCGCAGCCTTCTTTCAGAAGAGCTTTAAACCCTGAGCTCCAAACATTCCCATGTGCACGTAGACCGCTGTCGGGCTCAGGCTGTGTACACTGTGGGACTACCCGGCGCTGCTTCGGAGACTGGGCAGCAAAAGGCTAGACTGCTAGGCCTTTTGAAGCGCCATACGCCCAGGCCTTGACCCCCAAGCCCGAACAGAACATGACCTAATATAATCCTTGCACCTCGAAATCTCAAGTAAGGTTGTTCAGAAGAGCGTCGGACTTCGATGCAATACCAAAAGTATCTTCAGCCCCGTGTTTATACATTCTTCGCCGCAGAAGAATGCCTTCGACGGCTGAAGACCCAAAAGCCCAGAAAGCCCAGCATCTCGACGCATAGAGGCAGGCTCCACCGAAGCCCAGACTCTTGAGACGCGAATCCAGCGACTCCAACAAATCCTTGATGGAAGCAATCTAGGGGTCGGAAAACGAGTGAACATAGGTTACCGTAGCCCTTGGACTCTTTGGGAATCCGATCCGACGATAGCGCATAGCGCATCCTGCGAAGTCTTGTAAAACTGCATGACCAATCCGGGCTCCATTCAAGCCTACAGAACATCCCAGACAGCCATGGGGTCCGTGGTTTAGGGCTTCATGGGGTTCAGAGCTTAGGAGTTAGCCACCCGGAGCAGCTGGAAAATCCTTCAAACCCAAGCCCGAAGCCTCTCACGCGAGAGGTTTGGGGTTGTCGATCAAAGATGCAGAGAGCCTTGTCAAAGTCTTTCGAAGATCTTGAAGGAGCATGATAGCGTCCTTGCAGCAACCTTGTGGAGACGCCGAAGAGCTTCGTGGACTGCTAAAACCCTTTAGACCCTCCTGAAAACCATCAAAGCTTGCTAACATGTTGATGCACTCCAAGGCTAAACTCTTGTATCTGGCGTGCTGTAAAAAAGAGTCGTCCGCTGGATTGAGGCTTTTGGACTCCCTCGACATCAAAAGATCCCACGCCGAGCCGCTCTTGCGGGCCCTCACTGCAAAGGCGACAGCCCGGTTCATGGCTTGGGTTAGGCTCTGTCTAGACCCTGAATGAAGGACCTATCTTTTGATGGGCTTGTGTAAAGAAATCATAACAGGGAACCCTAATTAGGTTCTTTAGGGTCCAGGTGGCTCGAAGAATGTGCGCTCAGGTGTTGGGCGTTCGTTGAGGATGTACGGTCAAGGGGCTTTAGGGTTTATAGAACCCATACCCTCGGGCTCCAAATGCCCCAAAGGAGGCACTACATCATTGCACTCATATCTATCTTTCGCTATTTGTATCTGCAAAGTTGTACCTTTTTTTTTGGGGGGGGTGTAAGGTTTAGGCTTTGGTCATGTTCAGATGGACCAATGGAATGATAGAAGACGTGATGGTGTCTGGTTTTTCGAAGGACTGGTATGGATGATTCAGCACATTTCGTTTGAATCTTTGCATAGGGTTTGACAATGAAGGTTTAGAACGGATGGCGATTGATTCCCAGACCCTAAACCCTACCAAAAACACAGGCCACTTCATGGTGGGTCGTAGGTGATGAGAAAAGAAAGTTGCACCCTGAACCTGGTCCTCCTTGATCCTTGCGTTCGTCTTTGCAGGGCTTCCATGGCTTGTATCTTTTATGGGCTTAAATCACACGGTCTATAGGGCCTGTGTGGTTCACGGGGTTTATAGGGCTTGTATGATTTTCAGGGTTTACGGGTTTGGGGGGTTGGGGCATAGCTCTGTACCCGGAACCCACCAAGGACCCATTGTCATCGCCGGGTTTTTCTGCTGACATAGGGTCACGATCCGAGATATGTACCGTAGTTTCAGCACGGCCTGCTTGCATGCATGTTCGGCAGCAGCCGTGGACCACCCGGAGCCCAATAGCCCTTGAATAAGATCCCCGAATTTGCAAAGACATCGTGAGCATGCTGTAAAGCAGAGATGATATGGCATATGTATGGCGTGTTACGGCTGAGCTTTGTGACTGCGTACTGGACCCTGGAGTCACACCGAACCCTTCTAAAATTCAACATATCTTCTGCGAAGGTGGTTCAAGCCCCTGCTGGCGAAACCTGGGGCGACGTCGGAGTCACCGCAGCGGTCTAAGTCGGAATGCGGTGTAGCCTTTTGCAGCTTTTCAGGTTTTAGTCATGTGCATCAAAATCCTTGCTCGGTGGTCTGATATTTTGGGATGCAGGGTGATGAGCGGTTAACCTGTACCCGTAATAAGGTACCTGTATACATATAGATCCCGATTAACCCCTACACCCAAAGCCAAAACAAACACAAAAGCACATAAAACTCACACGAAGCACCCCCAACCAATTCCCGAAATCCGCATGAACGCGGACAGCGAACAACGCAACGAAGAAAACCAACCGTACAAACAAACATCCGTCGGCCCCTTAAACCCTGGACCCCAAACCCTAAACCCGTAAACCCTAACCCCCTATTATACCCGTGGTATTCCCCTAAACACCTAAGCCCTACCTATAGTCTCCATTGTAGTTCCTTTTTGGGTTTACCTTATAGGATCCTAATTATATACTTGGTTAAACCAAAAAAAAGAACTACAATGGAGACTACGTTACAGGTAAACCCCAAACCCATGCAACAGAAAGCAACCAGGAGCAGACCCTCGTTGACTTGGGTCTGCCCAAGAGGGCGGCAGAGGTCCTTGACCGCCGGGGGCACCCAGAGGGTTTGGGTTTAGGGGTCTGGGGTTTAGGGTTTAGGGGTTTAGGGTTTAGGGTAGGTTTTAGGGTCAATTTAGGGCTGGGGCTTGGCACGTTTAGGGTTTTGGATATGGGGTTTAAGATTCGGACGGAGCTCGGTTGTCATAGTTTAGAACTTGGTTTAGGGTCCTGTAAGTCACTGCTGCTACAATGGTACGACAAGGGTACAAAGGCGCCTTACCAAGGGTTTGGAATTTTGTTAGAGCTGAGGTACGTAGGCAATCTACTTGCAAGGGTTTAGGGGTTTCGGGGTCTGGGGTTTGGGGTTTGGGGGTTCAAGTGGTATCTAGGGCTTGTAGGTGTTTTTTGTTGGAGTTGAGCGGATGCCCTGGTTTGTACACTCTACCCCGTTCTAAGATGTTCTCAGGTTCGGCAGTCTTTTATTCACGGTGCAATGATAGATAGTCTTGACCATGATAGGTGAGGGGTAGTGTGACTAGGGTTGCGAGATGCAGCAATACCGTGTTATGATGGCTATGAAGATACTTTCACTGTTACAAAGCGTTCTTGTCACGAAGTATGTTGCTTTTATTGCGAATGCCTGATGTTGTTTGCATGCGCGCCGCATCCATCGTCATTGTGCCGGTGCCAACATCTAACAGCGAAGAGCGCTTCAGGAATCACGTGAAGGGTATCAGGTTTACGGTGTTGGGCGGGACGGTTTCGGCGTTTGGGATGTTACTTTTCACGGGCCTTCACTTGCATCCAAACCACCTGCTGAGGCAGCACGCCCTTCGGGAACAAACTGGCTACGGCTGTTACCTCTGCGGACGGCTCCACAACGATGCCCGTTGCAACAGCTTGTGTTTCCGCAGTGCGGTTTCATTGAAGGTTCAACCCTACACCTAAAGTAGGTTCTTTGGTATATTATGTTGGTTTCAGCAAGGACTCAGATATCATAGGGATCCCAACTTTTCCAAAAGCCCGTGCACCTGCCGCATGTTGCATAAGCAGTCTTTAGGATTTCGGGCCCCCGGTTTAGGGCAGTTGGTCTTCACACCTCTGTGGCAATGTACTGCAGGGTTTTAGTATCTACACCCCAAACAGAACTCGCAAAACCTGCAAGAAGCCCTCAATACTAAAAGCCCTACACCTTCAACACGATGAGGAAGATGGTTTTCGAGCTGCATGACGGGCACAAGGCGACAGCAAGGACACTTGAATTCTGACGGAAAACTGCGCACCAACAGGGGTATGCATTTAAAAGCATACGCCTCTACCGGCTTGAAAATCTACTGCTGTCCTTAGGGTTCCCAAGTAGTTAATGTACTTTACTGCAAGGGTGCCCCGAATCCTGTTCCAGTTGCTAAGGCCCCTGTATTTCCACCAGCCTTTAATTGGTCTGTCAGTGTCGTAGACTCATCTACTTAGTGGTCCGCTAGCACTGACAACGACATTCAGAGAAGTCATTCACTCCTGCGTAGGAAAGATCGCTTCTGGCGTCCATCATGCGCTACATGCATGCGGCTAGACCCTAAACCCTAGGCACCCTGAATCTTGAACCACATCTTGAATCCTAGACCCGAAACAACTTCAATCGCAAGCTAAGCCAGAAACACTAAAGTTTTCTAAAGCTCAAGCATCTTGGAGCTGCACGCAAGAATCAGCGTCTGGCATCAATGTAGTTATTTGCCCAAGTTCCTATAAGGGGCCATAATAATTACCTACACTATTATGGGGGTTCCCTATTGTAGTTGTAGTATACTGGGCACCCCAAACCATATGTTAGTTGAGGCCCCTGTAGTACGGGACAGAGTTTACATCTTGTCTAGTTTTTTACCTAGAAGCCGACTCCGAGCCAAAGAACCGATCCTATGTAAGTTTAGCGAAGAGGGGCTTCTAAACCCTTTAAACCCGGAGCCTAGAACTCCTACAGAACTCCCACATAACCCTCATATTTTTGGGCTGGCTTTTCATGTGACTAGGTGGCACTCTGGGAGCCATTTAATTTCCTCTCATACCGATGGAGCAAACCCTTTTCATGCGCTCTTCGGTGCCCTCAAACTGCTAAACTCTGAACCCTAAGCCCTAAGTTCTCTGGGTAGCAAGTTTATTGGGTTTGGGATTTACGGTTTGCGATTCTTTGGAGGTCATGGTCGATCTTCCTCATTTCTGATCATGCACGATCCTGTCTATTGGCAGTGACTGTACTCACTGAGCCCAATCCTTCGAAACAGCTGAAACCCCCACGGCCCCTGGCCGCCCCTTACAAGAGAATTCACAGTCAGCCTGCCTGGTACTCGTAGAAGATCGATTAACCAAAACCATCTGAAATCCCCAAGCCCTAAACCCTAGACCCGTAGGCCCGTAGACCCGGAACCCCTAAACCCCTAAACCCTGAACTGCTCCTCAGTCTCGAACCAATGCCAGCGTCTTGCAGGTTGAATCGGTTGTGATGCGCCACGATGACCGGACGACCATTTGTGTGTCCTCGCAGGCCGAGCCACCCTGAACCCTAAGTCGAAACCATCCGAAGCCCTAAACCCTAAGCCCAAGCCGAGTTTGGGTAAGTTGGGGCTTTCAGACTCTACCACAAACTTTTTCTTCTCGCTGATGCGCGCGTCTGACATGGTCTTCGTGTCGTGACAGCCAAAGGCCTGCAGACCCCCAGTTCGACGCCTCGGGACCCCAAGGCAGATGCAGAGAGCCCACGCGAAGAAGAGAGAACCGCTAAGCGTGGCAACGAAGCGATCCTGAGAAGAGCGGCTCAAGCCACTAAACCCGAGAATCCTGAACACCCTAAACCCTAAACCCTAAGCCCAAAACCCTGAATATGCCGGAGCTTTGACATCGGAGGTTGGATGTCAGATGGGCTGCACCTTTTGTGCTACGGGTACTATGCCAGTCGTGGGCGAAGCTCTGGCGGGGTTTTCAGGCGTCAAACTGCTTCACTTTGTAATACCCTAAACTCTAAACCGAAACTCTCAACCCTAAACTCAAGCTTCATTTTGCATTACCCTAAACTCTAGCCCGAAACTGTAAAGCTCTAAACCCTGACAAGCCCCTAAAACCCCACACCCTCAAACTGCAAGCCTAATTAGAGCCTCAAGCCCCAAACTGCCGCACGGCTATCAGGGTCCGATTGTGCTCGGTCGTCGTGAGGTTTGGGACCCTAGACCCTAAACCCTATACCCTGAGGTCTTGTGACGGGTGGCAGAGACGTCAGCAGTCGCAAAAAGGTGCTTAAAAAAAAAAAACTATACCCTAAGCCCTAAACCCGTCGTCATGAGGTTTTGGAGCTTGTGTGTGTTCGTTTTGTTCTTGTCGCAGAGTTGGCAGCGGAGTGTTACCCACAGCCGTAACCCGATCCCCAATGACAGGGTTCGGCCCTTCAAATCACAGGTTTCTGGATCCCTCTGCAAGGGTCTAGGGCACATGAAATGCATCGTTTCTGCATGTGTTAACCAAACCGCATTCAGCTAGTCCTGCTCGAAGGTTTCTGGGTTTCGGGTTTAGGGCTTCAAGGAGTTTAGGGGTTTTATATGTAGGAGATGGCAGAAGTGCTGGTCTCCTTGCGAGGTAATCAAAGCCCATGATCCGTCAGACAAGCCCTATACTCACAATCATTAACTTACTCTAGAGCCATTCCAAGCCACCTCTCCAAACTCGTGGACGTTCAACTCTGCTCTCAGAATCAGCGCAATATTATGACTTTAATCCGCCGGCCCGACATCGCCCAAGTCTGCTGAAGCAGACATCTCAGGATCTTGACGCCGGAGAAATTGTTGAGCAGCCACCTGGCCGAAGTTCTCTGATTCGCGAAGTACACTTGTGGCGGCGGGGGAGAGGCAGCCAGGCGACATGAGGTTTCGGGTGCCTGACGGATGTGCAGGGTTTATGGTAGATCTTGCCCATGGTTTTCTGACAGCTTCTCAGATTTGCAGGGTGTGCGGTTCGGAAGGTCAGCGTGTGTTGAGTTTGTATTCTGCGCTCCTTGTTAGCGCTTGCCTCATCAGAACTGGACAACTGAGTTTCTCCATGATTCCTCCTGAGCAGAACATGTCGAAATGCCTTACATCCTTTGCCTCTAAGCAGCTGCAGAACCACACGGAGCCCTCTCATATCGGAGACTTCATGTGTAGTAGTCGCATTTCTTGAGAACCCACATGAAGTTGTGGTGAAGCCCCACCCCCACTCCCCCCAAATCGTGTTCGAATGTTGCAGAGCTTCAAACCTAAACTCCGTAATCCTAGACTCGAACCCTAGACTTAAACCTCCAAAATAAGACCACCGATTCAATGCTTGCAAGATATGTACATGAAACCCATCAAAAAAGCCTAAGTGATGACCATTCGACACCCGGTGCATAACCTAAAGGTTAGCCCTCATGAAACACAAAGCGTACTCAGCCGACTGTTTTTTTTTGCAGACACCATAGCACGCCCTATGCAATCCGAAAAGAACCTGTTCAGGTGGAGTTCATGACATGAGTTTGGGGGTTGATGAGCAACGCCCTGCAAAGACTCACACTCAGACCTCTAAAAGCATCATTAAGTCTAGAACTATTGTCCTCAGAACCCTTTCCCAAAAAGAAAGAAAGAGAAAGAGAGACAGAGAGATAGAGAGAGAGAGAGAGAAATAGAAGCTACGTACTATTACTAATACTAGTTAATGGTACTGTATAATATCTGTTAAAAGTTCTATATAATACTATTGAAATACCAATACTAGTTAAAGAGAGAGATGTTCCGCTCCCAGAGGCTCCTGGCGGCCCAGCGCTTCGAATCCTCGGCCAACCGCCCTGCCGTGCGCAATGCGGCACCTTCGGCTGCCCGTGAAGTTGCGGCTTTAGGGCTTCAGGGTTTAGGGTTAAAGTTCTGGGGTTTAGGGTTTTAGGCTTTCAGGGTTTTGGGATTTTAGGGTTTTAGGGTTTAGGGTATTACAGGGTTTTACAGGTTTTGAGAGGGCATTGGGTGTTCGGATTCGTTTAGGGGTTTTGAGAAGGTTCGTGCGCACGTGGCCACTGAGGATGTTGATGGCGGTGCTTATGCTGAGGACTATTGCGAGGACTATGAAGAGGATGATTTGTTCGAGTCACGATGTAAGCTGGCGACGATGATGCAGTTGACTCTCATCATCATCTTAGTGGTTTCGGACCACATCATTCTGCTGGTCATTATGGTCCTTCTTTTGGTTGCGACAGCGATGCCGATGACGATGAGGAGGTTAAACCCCAAACCCTAAACCGTGAGGAGGAGGAGGAGGAGGAGGAGGACGAGGAGGAGGAGGAGGAGGAGGAGGAGGAGGAGGGCGGGGAGGCAAAGGCCGATGAGAAGTTTTGTGATGCGAGCATGAAGGCATTCGGACGGAGGCTTGCTACAGGGATGTATACCCGGCCCTAAACCCCAAACGGTCGGAGGAATTACCAAGATTGTTCCTCAGGCCTATATTCAAAACTAAAACCCTATCATGCGATGAGGGCATCTGAATCTAGGCTAATCCGAAACAGGCTTGAGCTGCAGTCCTCGAGCCCTACAACCTTCGGGCCAGTGCTGTCTTCGTTCAATGTCTAGGTCCTAGGGTTTTGGAGACTTAAGGTTTCTTTAAGTTTGTTGAGTTTATTGAGGGGTCATAGGAGCTTGTAGAGTGGAATTGGTGGCTACAGGCCTCCAAGTTTCCAAGCTGTCCTTGAAAACTCGAAATCCCAGAGCTCCTGCCCCATCCCTTCTAGTTAGGCTTACCAAGTCTCCCTTACAGTGTTCGAGTACCCTACACAGAATACGACATAATTTATCACTGGAATAGTCCCCTACACCCTCTTTATCACCTTAGACCCTAAACCTCAAGCCCTTCACCTTAAACCCTTTACCTTAAACCCTTAACCTTAAACTCGAAGCCTTAAACCCTAAACCTTTCGGTGAAATTGTGAAACCTCTATGAAGCCCGACTCTGAGGTTTTCATGGGCATGGGCGAGCCGTTGAACAACTACGAAGCTTGGCTGAGCCGCTTTCGCCTTCTTCGCTTCGATTTCTTATACTTGGTGAAAATAAGCAAGTTGTGGTTTATAGGGTTTAGGGCCTAGGGGTTTAAGGGTCTAGGGTTTAGGGGGTTTGGGGCCGAGGATTTTGGATCTTCAGCGGTTTAGACCTCAATGCCTCCGCCACGAAGCCTCGACACCCCACTCTGCCCGGGCTCATGGCTCTCACCCTGGTAAATGTACCCAGGACGACGGGGACCACAATATGGGAGCCTTAATAATTAGCATAGGATTTTGGGGCCCATTATACTATAGTTTTCATAGGAAGCCCCCCAAAATAGTGCGTGTGTGTATATGTATATATATATATATTTATTTATTTATATTTATATTTATATTTATATATATATATATATATATATATATATGTATGTATATTATAAGAACCGCGAAACCCGCACCCCTCCCGACCCCAGCCTTCTTAACACGAGCCATCTGATGCGATCAAGGACTCTGTGCTGTCCGCTGTGAAGACTATGACGGATCTCGGCCAGCACCTGGGCAAACTCGCAGAATGTTGTTCTTGGTAGACAAGGCTTTGCTTGACGCTTCGTACGTAGTAGTTAGTGGCGTTTTGGTGCGCGGTGCTGATAGCTATGCAGTATTCCCCAAAGCATTACAGCTGGTTTTCCAGGCCGCCAGATTAGGCCAGGGTTCTCTCTCTCGAGTCCGTTTGCGAAGTATGTTTCTGTTTGTTGGGGCGTTTGGGGCTTGCTGTGAGGATGTAGGGAGCTTGGGGGCTGGCTAAGGATTCTAATCTTTGGAGCTTCAGAAGTTTTCCACGGGAGGTAGGTAGGTTGTTTCCTCGTCTGCAGTGGCCCGTCCCCACGGGAGCGCCACAAGTCGCAAACAGTTAGAGCTACATGCTTTGGGCTCTGGTTGTTGGTATCTACATGTAGCGCTGCAAGATCCCTTCCCCAAGGGTGAAGGCTCAGGCTTTTGAGCTTCAGGATGTCAGGAAGCAAGGAAGCCCAGGAGGCCACCAGCCGTGAATCGAAGTCCTTGATTTACGATCAATGGTATTAGGCTGTGAGACTGGCTTTGTGGTTTTAGCTCTAACGGCTCACTTTGCGAGTGTTCTGGACTAGATGCGGGCTGCTGGGGCACAGAACAACTTTGTTACATAATGTTTATAAGAACTAGTGCAGCTACAAATCCCGAAGTCTTGCCCTGATGCATAGCACGGGCCCAAAATCTCCAAAGACTGCATCCCATACCCAAGCCTTTAACTCGGATTGCAAGCACGCTGGCTCGTGCAGAATTTGTGTCTACTGGTGCAAGTACTGCTGTGAGCGGTAGCAGGGGCAGTAGACTCAGCCTGTAGTTGTAGCAGCATGGCACTAGCAGCGACAGTAGCAGTATAACTAGGCGTGGTCGCTGTTGACTCTCCTTGAGTAACGGATGCAAAGGCTTGGAAGCTTTGCTTTGCCACAGAGCCGGGTGACCATCTCCACAGTAGGAGCCTGGACAAAAAACCAGCTTTGTTGGTGCTTTGTGGGAGTTTTCGTAGCACAAGTTAAGGAATCTCATCAGCATTCGAGGTTGCTGCATCCGTGCATCCATGTTGGCCTTGGGACTTGGGTATAAGGTTCAAGGTGAGCGCGCAGGGTGCACAATTACGCATGCATTCTCACACAGCTTCATATTGCAATTAGCACACATGCCCAAAACCCCGTTCTAAGTATGAAGTCTCCTGTATTAGGGTTACAGGACTGCGGCCGCGCGAAAGTTTTAGAGGTCTATCAACGAACGAGGAAGTAAATCCTAAACCCAGAGTCGTAAGCCCCACGCTCCACAACTGAATGCGCAGAGCGCCAAGGAAAGCAATTGACACCCCGACCACTTGAACGCATCTCCGTGCAGACAGCTCTTCTGTCCCACATCTCTGAAAACAGCAGCTTGAAGCCTGAACAACTGCAGAAAGATGTATGGGCAGTGATCTTAATTGGTGTACGCTTCATGCTCCTTGTTCTCAAAAGTGGCGACTTTAAATCTAAATCTGAACCCTAAACGAAGCCATACCCAAGCCCTGTTCTGCTTGTTTAAGGCCCCTGTGCTATTTGAGGGTTATAGCCTTTGGCCTGTGCCATATCAGACTGGGAAAGGTAGGCCCAATAGTTGGCCAATTTGAGCAAGTTTCGTCAGCATTCAATACTAGTACAACTAGCTGTTAGCTGTGTAGGGTCCCTCTGTAATCAGATGTACCCTCCAATGCAAAGTTTCAGCTGGCTAGCAGAAATCAACCATGCCAGTACCGATCCCGACACAGTGAAAGATCATTGTGACGATTACGACTACCACGATAGACATGGGTAACAAACACTGCTGCGAACCCCCGAACCCCAAGAAACCCACAAGCCCTGCGCTGAACACTTTAAAACTTCGAAGACCTACTTGGAGAATCATGGGACTTAGTAAGTATGGTTATAAGTACCTTAATTGGGGTTATAAGTATAGTTACCTTAATAATAACCGTAATTACTAAGTCCCATGATCCTTGAAGTACTAGACTCCTAAGACTCCGAAAGCCCAGTGAAGCCTCAACCTGCAAACTCCTGGAATCCTGTACTATAAATCACCACTTAATCCCCTTGATCTCGTGAACTCACCTGTCACCCAGCACCGGAATTCTTTGTGAACCGCTGCCTTTTTTGAACCTCCCTTTACACTCCTTCAACAGCCCTAAATGTTTTAAACCCCCTGAAACTTTTAAGCGCCCCCAACTCGTCAAATCCCCTTAACATCACTAAATGTCGCTGAGCTTTTCCGATCGCCTAGTAACTACGTTGTTAAGGCGTGTAGGGAAAGCACAGCAGCAGGTTGTTTTTTTTCGGTAGACCTTATACCCGTATAGTAGCCCTCGTAGAACTCTCATAGTAAGACTAAGCCGACGACCTCAACCCAAACATCTCTCGGCACAAAGGCGCCGGCTTATGGTTTAGGGCCTAGGGGGTTTGGGGCTTTGGGTTTAATGGTTTGGGGGTTTACTTAGAGGATCATGGGACTTAGTAAGTCGGTTATAATTGGGGTTATAAGTCCCCTAAGTGGGGTTATCCTAATTATAACCTACTTATAAGCTTAGTTACTAAGTCCCATGAGCCTTCAAGTAGGGTTCAGCATGACGAAGCCGAAGGAGTGGTGCCTCGCATGCGGCAGCTTGCGCGGGACCTCCCTGGGCTGAGCCTCGCCCTGTCGCTCCACGCGCCCACGCAGGCGCCCTTGGGGCGATGGTTCATTTTCATATGGGAGTTTGGGTTTAGGGGCTCCTTTAAAGGGATCCCTAAGGGCTCCTTTAAGGGCTCCTATAAGGGATCTATAGGGTTCAGGGCCTGATATGGGAGTTTCGGAAAATTAAGGGTACCTTATTTTGGGGTCCTTATAATAAGGACCCTGCTATTTAGGGTACTATATTAGGGTCCCCTATTCTCGGAAACTCCCATATGGGGGCCTTAGGAATTAGAAGTTCCTTTGAGGGTTCTATAAGGGATCGACAATGATTAGAAGTTCTTTTAGGGATTCAATTCGTTAAAGGGTTCTAGAAGGGATCTATAATAGGGGTCGATAGTGTAGAGGCCTTACTCATTAGAATTGGGTTTCGGGGGTTCCTTGTTGCATGTATTGTATAATATACCCCCAAACCCTGTTCTAATTATTAAGACCGCAACTTTAGGGCTCATAGGGTTTCTGTAGGCTTCTGTGGTTGGCAGTTTTGGGGATTGTCACCCGGTAAAGAGTCGCAACTGAAGGCCTTAATACCATACTAGGCATCGATTTGGGATAAATTTTAGTTTCCCTTATTGTTGAATATAGAGCTCTAGCTATACATAATTTGGGGGACTGTTGAAATGACACCTTAGCATACTACATAGTGCCTGTGGCTGTTTGAGCCAAAGGTTTCGGGTAAGGTTTCAATACAGCCCTCAGCAGTTGAAAGGGAAGTTAAAGAGTTTGCAGGGTTACATAGGTTTGCTGTGAAACCTTACACTTGTTGTAATCGCGTGTAATGGAGTCTTTGGGGGTTAGAGTCTCTGATTTTATGGGGTCGGTGTGTTGGTGCCGAAGTTGTTTTTGCAGTGTCAAGTTTTGGGGGGGTTAGATAGGTTCAGGATTTCGGGTCTCAGGGTACGCGTATGAGTAGTGCAGTCATACGTCACACGGTAGTTCGAACCGTTTTGATCATCGTGAGGAAAGTTCTTGTAGGTGTTGATTCAGTCTTTATAAAACTGAAAGTTGTATGTTGGCATCGTATCGCCTGGATATTGGCCACAAAAGGGGTAGTGAGGTTTACAAGGATTTTGGCCTCCAATGTTCCACTTTCATCGATGACTGTATGCGGTAGTTCTTGAACTTAGGGCTTCGTTTCGTCTGTTTCTTACATTACACTAACCCCTAAACCCTATGGGGCTTCACAAAGTGACAGGAGCTCCGCCAGAAGATCGTCCCCTCGGCGAAGAACGTTCCCATGGAAGAGTTCCATGGCAGGGTTTAGGGTAAAGGACTTGGGTTTAGGGTTCGGGGTTCTGGGAGGGTTCACAAAGTTGTGTGGGGGATTGAAACGTTGGGGCCTAGAGGTATTTTTTGTAGCATCTTTGACAAAGCCTCATCCCGGCCTCAAGCCAGCTCCTATCAGCCTTATGTTCCAATGCTCCAAATCTCGACCCCAACCCTAAATCCTAAATCCTGAGCCTTCAATCCCAAAACCCTCAATCCGCAATCCTGAACCCTAAATCAGAAACCCTCAATGCTAAACCCTGCTTGTAGCCGAAAAGACCTACCATTTTGGGGTTCCTTAATACGTGTTTCTGTATATTCTACTTCCCTAAACAGGTAGGTTTTCTGGGCTACAGGTAAAACATAAACCAGGGTTTCCGATAAGGGACCCTTATATACCCTAAATAGGCGGATCCTTATTGTAAGGATCTCAAAATGAAGTAGCTATCATTTCGGAAACTCCCATAAGCCATAAACCCTAAGCCCCAAACTCGAAATCCCAAAGCCTAGATCCGAAGCCCTAAACTCTAATCCCGAAACCCTGAATTCGGAACCCTAAACTCTAAAGCCTAAATCCGAAACCACAGACTCAAAATCCTGAACCCTAAATCCGAAACCGTACACTCTAAATCCTAAATCCGAAACCCTAAACTCTAAATCCTAAATCCGAAACCCTAAACTCTAAATCCTAAACCCGAAACCCTAACTCTAAACCCTAAATCCGAAACCCTAACTCTAAACCCTAAATCCGAAACCCTAAATTCAAAACCCTGAACCCTAAATCCGAAACCCTTAAACTCTAAATCCTAAATCCGAAACCCTAAACTCTAAATCCTAAACCCGAAACCCTAACTCTAAACCCTAAATCCGAAACCCTAACTCTAAACCCTAAATCCGAAACCCTAAATTCAAAACCCTGAACCCTAAATCCGAAACCCTAAACTCTAATCCCTAAATCCGAAACCCTAAACTCTAACCCCTAAATCCGAAACCCTAAATTCAAAACCCTGAATCCTAAATCCGAAACCCTAAACTCTAAACCCGAAACCCTAAATCCGAAACCCTACACTCTAAATCCTAAATCCGAGACCCTAAACTCCAAATCCTAAACCCGAAACCCTAACTCTAAACCCTAAATCCGAAACCCTAACTCTAAACCCTAAATCCGAAACCCTAAATTCAAAACCCTGAACCCTAAATCCGAAACCCTAAACTCTAATCCCTAAATCCGAAACCCTAAACTCTAACCCCTAAATCCGAAACCCTAAATTCAAAACCCTGAATCCTAAATCCGAAACCCTAAACTCTAAACCCGAAACCCTAAATCCGAAACCCTACACTCTAAATCCTAAATCCGAGACCCTAAACTCTAAATCCTAAACCCGAAACCCTAACTCTAAACCCTAAATCCGAAACCCTAACTCTAAACCCTAAATCCGAAACCCTAAATTCAAAACCCTGAACCCTAAATCCGAAACCCTAAACTCTAATCCCTAAATCCGAAACCCTAAACTCTAATCCCTAAATCCGAAACCCTAAATTCAAAACCCTGAATCCTAAATCCGAAACCCTAAACTCTAAACCCGAAACCCTAAATCCGAAACCCTACACTCTAAATCCTAAATCCGAGACCCTAAACTCTAAATCCTAAACCCGAAACCCTAACTCTAAACCCTAAATCCGAAACCCTAACTCTAAACCCTAAATCCGAAACCCTAAATTCAAAACCCTGAACCCTAAATCCGAAACCCTGAACTCTAATCCCTAAATCCGAAACCCTAACTCTAATCCCTAAATCCGAAACCCTAAATTCAAAACCCTAAACCCGAAATCTGAAACCCTAAAAACTCTAAACCCGAAATCTGAAGCTCTGAACCCAAACATCTCTTTCACTGACCTCGAGGCTCTTGGCCGCCATGGACCTGCACTTGGAGACGCCTCTCGCCGGGAAGTGAAAAGCCTCGAAACCTAATATAGGGTCCTTAATACTTGCTTATTTCTTATAGAGTTCTATAGTGTAGGGTCAAGCGTATAGGGGCTTAAAACTATTTTGGGGGTTCCTTAATATAATTAGAGTATATAAATATAGTATAATGGGCCCCAAACCCTATTCTTATGATGAAGGCCCCTGTGTTAAAGCTCTGAACAGGTTTGGCTAGGGGATCCGATGTCCTGCTGTGCTTGAAGCGTGAAAACGGCTATACCCTACGATTTGATGGGGTCTAAGGCTGGGGATTTCGCTGAAGGGCTATTCGGTGGGATGAAGGGTAGGTGAAGGTGCTTTCAGTCTAGGGCTTCCAGGATCCTGCTGATGGACCATTGACGGGATGTAATATCGGGGCCTTAATGAATTAGAAGAGGGTTTTGGAGTAGATTAGACTATAGTTCTGCTATAAGGAACTCCCAATACGATAAGGAACCCCCAAAATCCTATTCTATCGATTAAGGCCCCCAAGAGTAGGGCTCTTTGAGAGCATGACGGCCTTTGAGACCTCCTGATGCCCACTGCAGCCTCCATAAGAGGGTTAAGAGGGTATGGTTTAGGGTTATAGGGTTTAGAGTTTAGGGTTCTAGGGTTTAGGTGTCAGGGCTTTAGGGTTTTAGGGATTTAGGGTTAAGAGGGCAAAGACCAGCATCTCCAAAGTTTCTGATACTCAAGGTAGCTCAGGAGGCTGTACACCAAGAGTACGTCTAAGGGTCCATGTACCAAATTTGTATATACTTTGGCCTTAAATAGTATATGCTACTTGGGCACATGGACCCTTAGTGTATGTCTAGGACTTCAGTGCTTCGGTTTCCGTGGTCTAAACACTGAGAGCAAATCCTCGGTCAAACTACATTTAGAGTAGAATTCGTAGGCTACTTTTATTCAAGGAACTCTTGCACATGTGTGTTATGCCGTTTCAGTCTAGTCCAGGAAGCCTGCCCCAACAGTTACAGCCGAGAGCCAGCGCACGAGACCTAAGGAACACCCAACACGGTGCTCCGGCACCGAAGCCCAAGCAGCACCTCTAACTGTCACGAGTCGCGGGTTTCGGCCTCTCCCGCTAATGCTGAGACCTTCAACCTGCAAGCCTGAATCCACAAGGGCCGGGTCTGGTAAGTTGGGGTCGCATCAGGGGTCCTAGTGTTAAGAGATATGCACTCCTGTAGGGTTAATCAGATGAAGCCCTGTGTTCGCCCCTCCTGGTCCTGATAGTTGAGCAGCACCATCTGAGGAAGACGGCACGTGCCATGATTGCCACTTGTCCGCAGAGTTCAGGTTTTGAGATGTAGTGTACAGGGCATTCTGGAGTTGGGATTCAGGGTTTAGGGTTCAGGTCTGGAGCCACTCAAAGCAACTAGCAAGGGCAGCAAGAAGCAAAACTCTACAGCAACAGTAGTTTCCACAGCAACAAGAAGAAGGTCTCAACCACAGCCACCTGCTGGGATCAGGTGAAGAGGCTTGCTTTACTAATTTCGGGTTGGGTGCCACTACTGATGGACACAACCCTGCGTTCCCTTACAAGATCTTGAAGGGCAATGCTTGCCTTAAGTGAGGTAGAGCTCCGGAACTACAGCATCTTCGTTTCGTTATGGGTGATGTTTTGTGTTCCCCTAAACCTCGCTAAACCTCGCAGAAGACGGAGGATTTTAAATTCGGTCAAGGTACACGGCTGTGCCTCCGGAGTTGTCGGTTAGAGATTGGATTCAGGGTTTTTGTGCTGCAGTCTAGTGTTTGGGGTCTAGGCTCGGGAAGCTGGGTTTTTCGGGAAGCGGAAGGCCCTACTGCAACCTTCACAGCTAACTCTCAACATTGGCTTTCGGGAGGTCGGTGCATGTCTTGGACCTTCCGTTGAACCCTGAGCTCCTCAAGACCTAAAACCTAATCCTAAACATCCCTAAGCCGCAGACCCTCTCAACCCTAAAGATTTGAAATCCCTAAGAGTAGACCCTACATACATACATACATACATACATACGTACGTATATATAACTCTACATATATATATATACACACACACAAGCCTTCGAAGGAGTACGTGCTCCTGGCCGACGTCAACGACACCGACGACTGCGCTAAGGAGTTGGGTCAGCTGTTGGCCCCTCGAGCCCGCAAGGCGAATCGGGAGAAGAAGCTCTTTGGTTTTGAGGGTTATGTTTCTGCTGTCTCTATATCTCAAAGCATGCATCCGTGCATATATGTATGTATGTATATATATATATATATAGACTCTCTATATGTATATGTATATATATATATATATATATATAATACATATATTTCTGTGGGTTCAGACTTGCCATAAGATCCCATCTTGTGTCCAAAACCCTGCAGTGAAATGTCTATGCGAAGCCGCTCTTATCACATGCTATGCCGGGAGCAGGTCATGGTGAACCTCATTCCCTACAATCCTGGCGCCTCGTCCATGCCGGACGGCTTCCGTGCGCCGCAGCATCAGCGAGTGGAACGCCTCTGTGCTGCGATTGTGAATTGCTGGTCCTGAATCCTTTGGCCCAATCCTCTTTAAACCTGATGCTTTCAATCTCCTCAAGTGTTACAGCCGAAAGCCTAAAGCCGTAAGAACCCTAAACCCTAAACTAAACGTAAGTTTGCGCCCGACCCAGGCTTTCAGCAAATCCTCGCGAACTGCAGCATCATGACTGCCGGGCAACACAATCAGAGTTACCGAGTTTCATTCTGAAGCTCCGTTTAGATTCAGAAGGCTTGTCTATGACGGTTTGATGGCAAGTTGGCTTTGCGAGTAAGGTTGAAGAGGGTTGTGTTGGGAATCGGCTTGCAGCGTTCTACACGGCGTTCATATAAGCTTCCTGAAAATTTTGGGAAGCCCTTCTAGATTCTCAAGCAGTACCGTCTTCCGTGTTAAAACTCGATGGTAGGGAAAGGAGGGGTGCCGCATGTTTCAGGGGTCCTTGGGGAACATGGGGATCAGGGGTTGCTACTCGAAGGCTCATGGGACTTAGTAGGGCTTAGGGGCCCCGTTTAAGGGTACTATAAAGGCTCTATAACAGGGCTCCCTTTAAGGATTAAGGGTTTAAGGTTTACTCGAAGGCTCATGGGACTTAGTAAGTAAGGTTATAAGTAGGTTATAATTAGGATAGCCCCACTTAGGGGACTTATAACCCCGATCATAACCTAACTACTAAGTCCCATGATCCTCTAAGTAGGGAATAGGGTTCAAGGGCTGTGGCGGATGACAGCTTTGAGCTTAGGGTTCCGGTCTATGTTCCAACTTTCTGGTGCTCACTACAAGTTCTCAGTAGCTGAGTAGGGAGCGTTTAACCTTCTGGGGTTCATATAATCCTACCATACTTGAGTAGCTTAAGCTTTTTTGGGCTGGGTAGGATCAGCCCTGGAGTTTGAGGTCCTTGGGTTTATCTTGATTTGGGCTTTCTGGCTACCCTAAACCCTAAACCCCTAAACCCCTAAATTCTCAACTCCTAAACCCTAAAGCCGCTCCAGAGTCTGGATTCGTCGATGCTTGGAAGTTCGGTTTCCCTCATGTAGGGACCTCAACAGTTCGAACAAGGCTTGGTTGTAGGTTAGACGAAAACTATAATGAGGAATATGGTTTTTGGGGTTAGGTTCTCCAAAGACTCTATTCTAATTGTTAGGGCCCCTATAGTAAGTCTCGAAATGTGCCACGTAGTGGATGCTCTAAGCCGCTAAGCATCGTAAAGCCCTCTTGCGGACTCAGAGACTCCGCAACCCCTTCGTAGGCAGCATGCCTTAGATTATCTAGGCAGTCTATTATAATACATGAGTGATATGAGTGAAGGTCTATTCCTGCATGAAACGGTTTTGAAGTCTCTGGGGTTCGGAGAGCCAAACGCAAGCGCCAAATGCCACGGAACCGCCGACCCAGAAGAGTGTTGTGTTTGCGGATGCTAAACGCTCAAGCATTGAATCCATAGACCCTACATCTTCACCCCTTTATGACAGGCACCCCCTCAATGTTGAGATAACAGCCGCAGCAATTAATTAGACTACGGTTCGGGGGCATACCATGCAATAGTTATTGTGGATAAGCACCAGGCCTTCATATTCCCAGAAGCTACCTGAACTGTCGGTTTGCAATGCAGCCCGAAGCCACATCCTTGTGTGTGTAGCTTGCATTACGTGAGGGCGAGTGAGCGAAGTTGAAGCCATAACCTCAAGTGCTTGACCCCAGAGCCAACACCCTAAGCGTGCTACATAAACAAAAGCCCCAAAACCTGTGCAGGACCCGAGTAAGACGGGAGATGGGCCAAGATATCTCTGGGGCTTGTGGACAACTCGCTCTGACGGTTCGCCAAGCAGCATTGATGAAGTTACTTTTTGTCTTGGGCTTCTAATCGTCTCTTAAGTTTCATATGAGAGTTCTCGAATAATAGGGGGGGGTACCTTATTGTGGGTCCTTAGAATAAGGATCCTGCTATTTAAAGTACTATATTAGGGTCGCCTGTTTTCGGAAACTCCCATGTCTTCTCACAGGTTCCCTAAGGCTCGCCATGATGGTTCGATAGTACGAGCGCGGCTACACAGTATTGCAATCTTACCATGTTTTCTGGAATTGGTTGTGGTTTCGATGGCTTCAGGGTGTGTGCCTGGTAGTTGTGCGTGCGAAACTGTAGGATTCAGGAGTATAGGGATTGGGAGAGTAGGTTTCAAGGGTCTTCAGGGATTTAGGGCCGAGTTCCACTTTGGGGCATTCTGCAAGTCCTGAAAGCAGTTGGTTTGTTCGACCGTAAACTCCTTAACCGTTCACCGTAGTGTTCTAGTCTATGCGGTACCTTACAATCAAGCCGAAGCCTAAGCCTCAACGGAGTTTGAGCTCACACGAAAGCCTTTTTCAAGATTCAAAATTTCGCTACTTTGGGGCTACAGTAGATGTGGGGTTCCATCTAGGGCTTCTGTGAGGGTTTTTTGGTATTGGTCGGCAAAGGTGTCGCGCTGCGGGCGTCTGGTAAGCTTCTACGCAGGGTATCCTAAAGTGTCTTGCGATTGGGATCTAGTCGACAAACAGCTCGTGGGCTTTAGTCTTAGTAGCTAGAGAGAATCTGTTGCCCCGCGAGCCTTCCGGCAAGGCTCTTTTGCTTCGGAGTTCTACGGTATCTGCCCTGTGGATATCGCAGGGTCCGGACCTTTTTCCATATCTGACAATCTAGCGCTAAACCTTTCCAAACCTAAACCTTGAACACCACGCCGAAAAGTTGACAATCTCTTAAACCTTCTAAATCCCAAACCTAAGGTACTGTACCCAACAGACACTCCTCATCTGCACATGCAAGGAGGGGGGCAGCCCCACCGACTTGGAGGCGCGGAGTTTGGGTTTCTCGGGGCATCCTTCGAGGTTCATCGGACAGGGTTGCCTCGCTATTGTGTGGGGTGGTACAATCCTTGTACAATCCCAAAGGCTCAGTAGCTGAGTTTTGTAAACTTTAAACTTTTCGGATCATGAGACCCTCTTAAGACCGAAAAAATTAAACGCTTATGAACTCGGCAGCTAAGAAGAATAACGTTGAGCTCTCCTAGGAAGCTGGGCAAGAAAGCTGGTCAAGAGAGTCTGTCCACTGTCTCACATATATATATATATACATATGTACATATATGTACATGTAAAAGAGATACTAATAGAAATAATCATACTAGCCACAATAGTAGTAGTATATGTAATCATACAGTTAATACTAATACTCACAGTGGGTTGACTCCAGGGCGCTCCTAGGCTTTGAGGTCCAGGGTTCGGGTTTCGAGCTTTGGCTTTCAAGGACTTGAGCTGAGAATTGAGAGTTGAATGGGTTTAGGGCTTAGGGGTTTAGAGGTGTAGGGTTTGGGGGTTCATTGGATTTTTTCTCGTTTCTGGAGTTCGTACCGTTGGCGGCATGTTGAACGAAGCCAATGGGCCGATGCTTCGTGACGCTCAGCACTTGAAACATCCTGTCTCTGCACTTGTGCAAAGAAGGCACAACCGTCGCCGGGGTCAGACATCTCCGTTCTCCGACTGCGAGATCAGCTGCACTTATCCTTACTAGTCAAGAGCCTCTCCACAAACTTTCGGCAAACTTCGGAACATACTATAATTTGCTCGTCTAACTGTGCGGGCCGTGTGTGTGGGTTCTGCAACTGTCTCCCCAAGCACAGCAGCTGAAAGTTTAGAGGGTTTAGGGTTTCAGATTTCGGGCGCGGCTTGCGGTCAAAAGCTTGGGGCTCTTCTGCCAGGATTTCGTCGCATGGAGGCGGCGCCAGCCCCAATCCGCCAAGAACGCGGTGCACGCCGAGTGTGCAGCAACTCGACCAGCAGTTCAGAACAACCAGAAACGTTGGACGCTGTCGATGGTGAAGAAGAAAAGGATGACTATGTTAATGCTCCGATGATGCCTCCTAAGACGATGCGAGTAAGCTCGTGATGGATGGTGATGATGAGCGCGTCGCAGCCGCTGCCGCTGCTGCTGCTGCTGTCTTAACAGCAGCAAGAGTAATTATAGTAATGACAGTCAGGGAAGCAGAAGTAGTAGTGGCATCATCATCAACAACAGCGATAGGCACAACAGAAACTGCAATAGCAACGACAGCGGCACTAATTACCACCAGCAACAAGAAGAAGCACCAATGAAGTAGACTACAACCGGCCCACGACGACAACAGCAGCATCGGCAGAATCCCTGATTTCTTAGCGCTTCCCAGGCCGTGGCTGCAGCAGTTACTTGTACTTCCCAGACTGCTGAGGCCAGAAGGGTTTAGGGTTTTTTTAGGGTTCAGAGCTCAACTAAGGCTTTCGGTATACTGAAGTAGGAAGGCCTATAGACCATCTGACTCCGCCTCCTCCATGAGGACTCCAATGTTACGGGCGAAAGACAGCTGTTACTTCTAAGATTCTACATGTTCAATCCAGGGATGTGAATTACATGTTCTGGGTTCTAGGATTCTAGGCTATTTGCACTTTTTGGGGGGCTCTACAGATCAGTCTCCGGCAGGTTCCAGCATCCTTTGATAAGTTGAGGTCCTCTTGGTACAGGTACGGACCGTAGATACAACAAGCAAGAGAGGCATGATTCTCTGGATTTAGGCGTTTATCAGGCTGTATGGTATGACTTTTTGCAAGGCGTTTTAGAGTCCGGGGGGGTAGAGTCTTGAGTTCAGGCTTTTAGGTTGTGAAGTGAGGCGCTGTAAACATAAGTAGTTACATGTGTTGAGGCTACTACATGAAGAACCTTTCAGGATGCAAGAGGTTAACCTGCAAAGGGGTCTAGGATCTAGTGGTCAGGTTAAGCGAAGCAGTGTTTGTGAAGCCTGTCTGCGCCTTAAATCCCCAATGAATTGTATGCCCGAACTACTAGCCTTAAAAAGCTTTAAGGCTTTAGGTCTTCTAGGTTTGTTCCAAGCCGCTGTTTGGTTGCTTCAATATGAGAAAACCAAGAGGGAGTTCTCAAATATCGGACCTTAGAGAAAAGGGCCCTATCTCTACCCGTTGGGTGAGAAAACAGTGGTAACATTTTGGGGGCGGCACAGAGTGACATTTTGGCAAGATTCCTTCTGGGAGCTCCAGTATTTCAGATACTGTAAGGGTTGCACGTTCTTTGCCCCAAGATCCATATTAGGAGGATCGCCTATTGCTCTCCTGAAATCCCCAGCATACTCGGGTCGCATAGATTCTACAAGCCATGGCCTAGGATCACAAGGGTCCCGTATGTTCTGAGCGCCGGTGATGCCATTTCGGATTGCAAAAGAGCCTTACAGCTTCTTAAGCTGAAGACCCCTCCTCGTAGGTTTTATGATCTGCAGGCTTTTAGTTTAGGGTCCCTGTGGGCGGATGACCAGGTGCCGCAGTTGATGAAACGCTGCGCACAGCAACTCGGCAAGTCGGTCCAAAGCGTGGTGTACGGTTTAGGGGTTTAGGGAGTGTAGTCCTCTAATCCCTCGAATTTGGGTTTTAGGGTTTCTCGTCTGGTTTCACCAGTGTTCCACTGGCGCAAACCCTAGAGTCCAGGTATTTGTTGATATTTCTGGGCCGCCTCTTGTTTGTTGTACTTTTCCCCTGACCCCACTTCGAATCTCGGGCTTTAGCTTCATGAAGACCCGACAAACCGTCGGGTTGAGGTAAGTTGTTTCCGTTGCCCTGAGAATAGACCTTGTAAGCCTTAAAAGAAGCCGTAAACCATGAAGCATGAAGTCCTAAACTTCGAACATCCGCAGCCCGGATAGAACTTCGGAGCCCTAGCCCCCTAACTTCCTATGCACCACGGATACTACACAGGTTGCCACAAGGGTCACTGCTTTAGCGTCAGAAGTCTAGAGTTTAGGAATTGGGGTTAAAGTGAGTTCAGGGCTCAAGAGGTCCGAATAAAAGTAAAGTAGCTCGAGCTTGGAGCTACTTAGAAGCCTAATGAGAGTATGTATGAACCTGCTTCTGATCCTTACAGGTTATGATAAAGGAACCCCCCAAACCTTTGCAAAAAGTATACTTCCTAATTTCCTTTCAAGTGACCTCCCAATCCTTCCGCCGAGCTCAGGATCACATCGTGGCCATGGTTCCAGTTTTCCCTGCTGGCAGCTGGGCCTAAACCCCTAAACCCTAAACGCTAGCAGCATAGAACCCAGGGCTGGGAGTTTGAGGGTTCGGGTTGCGCGAAGTATTATAGGGGCCTGAAGACTTACCTAGTCTATTTTGGGGATTCCTTACTATAACTATAGTATAATGGGCCCCGAAACCCTATTCTAATCATTAAGGCCCTTTTTTTAGTCCAACCAACCACTGGAGCCCTCGTGCCGCCCTTACTACAACTAACCCAGAGTCTCTCAATAAAAGGTCCTTGCTACAACTACAGGGCCATTCTCACACTAATTTCGTTGTTTTTTACGAGTCCAGGGCATGGTTTTAAGGTGCTATGGGGTTTTTATCGGTTCTTACTGCGGGTGGCTAGCGGTTTTCCGGCTTTGGAGGGAGGGCTCCAGGGCGTGATTCAAGCAGCCACAACACCAGCGGCACCGCCATCACCAAAACCACGGAGCCGTCGTCGCCACCACCAGCCGCAAACCCCGATCCCTCTCCTAGCCCTACCCTGGCCTCGATAAGGGTTTCAAGGAAGACAGGGTGCTGAGTTGCAACCCCATCCGCTCTTTCAGATTTCAAGATCATCATCAGCATCGTCTTCATCACCATCCTCGCCGGCAACATCTCGGTGGTCATGTTGGTGATGGTCTTCATCATCAGCATCATTTTCGTCGTCATCGTCATCAACACATCATGACCATGATCGTGATGACATTTCTTTTGTGATTACATTTGTTGCGATGACCGTGAAAGATGTCGGCAATGGTGATGATATGGGTGTTGAATGACATGCAATTTCGTGTGAGGAAGATGAGGAAGATGGAGATTCGACAGTAATTTCGGGACGATGGTGATGGCGAGGGTGGTGCTTGCTATGGCTTGGACGCTAAACGCTCACCTGACCATCCCACCGCCCTCCCATCGACCAGGAATTGCCTCGACCCTACGGAACCTACTCATTTCGAGGTTGCAGCTCTGATTTTCTGATCTGGATTCTATACTTTCCGTCCTCCGCCGAAGAACACTGCCCACGCCCTGCTTTGCCTCTATCTTCAGTTTAGGATTTCGGTGACGATGATGTTGATAAATCGCAGGGGCTGAGGTTCACGAGATGGGGATGCATCGGATCGTGAAAGTCTGTGTCACTGGAGCTCCCTTGCTTAGCAGGGCTGGTAATCCTCGTGCTTCCGTTGAGGGCTCGGTCTTCTTGTGAGCCTTTGGGTGCGTGTGTGTTTGTCTAACCGACCGTCTCTCATCTGCAGCAACCACACATACTTCAGTCCCTCCTGCAATTCCTGAAGCGGTGAAACCCTGCACCCTGAATCCCAAGTCCTCCGCCCTGCACCTCGATGCAGGCAACAGCTGCAATAACAGCGGCAACGACTCTTTGGCTCAGGCCCCACATGCGGATTCGCATGAAGTGTATGGGGTGACGAAGAGTTTCAGAAAAGCTACTGAATCAATCTCAAGATTTAACATATAAGATAAAATGCTTAAGTCTATGATGATCAAACGTGATATTAAAACAATACCAAATTGTTTGTTCTCGATGTGGTTGTGAGTTCACCCTCACCTGATTATTTATATCTATTGAAAATTCTGAGCCGGAACAACAAAAACAGGAAAACGTAATGTCTGTTCTTAAACAGTATATATTATTATATATACACATACTTGTTGATCGATTTCTACGTGTGTATATATACATATATACGGATATATACATACATGTATATATATATATATATATATATA